CCACCCACCACCAATGCTGCTTACCCGTCCGTCCGTCGGTGCTCTGTGCAGCTCTCTCAGCAGCCGCATGCAGCAGTTAGCGGCGGCGGCGTCGGCCAATCGGTCGGTCAGTCAGTCGGGGCAGAGCAGAGCGAGTGACCGAGCGCGTAGCCACCCCTCCCGTAACCACTGCCGCTGCCGCCTCCTCCACCTTCTCCTTCCTTCCAGAAGCAGCGGCTGAGAGAAGCGGGGACGCGCACGCTTTAGACGTCTCACGCCGCCATTGGTTAAGGGGCGGTGAGGAGGGGGCGGGGCGGAGAGAGGAGGGCGCGATGACGTCACGAGCCGCGCGATGTCGTCACGTGTTTTTTTTGTTTGCGGGAAAGCGGCGGCGTGACGTCACGGGTCGCTGCGTTGTTGTTTGAGAGGGAGGCTCGGAGTGCACCTGGCCTGGCACAGGCGCTCGTGGTGACATCACCTCACGTGGTCTCGCCGTGCACCTAGCCTGGCGCACAGGCGCAACGGTGACGCCGCCGTAACTTCGTGGCGAATGGCGGGGTTATTGGTGAGGGGGTAGAGCGTTGGTGCGTCGGGCAGCAGTCACCTCGGTCGGTCGACCCATGGCGCCTGCTGTGCGTCTCCCGTGACCTCCTGCCAGCGGGCGTTTCGACACTTCGCGTTGGTCTCAACGTGGTGCACCTAGCCTGGCACAGGCGCCGTGGTGACGTTAAACCGTCGGTAGTGAATGGCCGGTGTTGGAGGGGTGGGCGGAGAGATCCCCACCCACCCCCCGCTCGTCTCCCCCACCCCACCCCTCGCAATTTCTCGAACGCGCTGGTGAATGGGGGAGCGGTGACCGCTGTAAACTTTATTTTTTAACCAGGCAAGGCCCCCCCCCCCCCACCGAGCTACGTGGCTTTCTCAGAAGCTAACCTGGCCACGAAATGATAGTTCCAACGAAGTGGCTTATCATCTAAACGCGTGATGTTGATACTAAGTGTGGCGGGGTGGAGGACCCGTGGAAATATCCACGCGACCATAGGGGAGAGACGCAGCAAACTCCACAAATATGCAGCAGGCGTCATGCGTCTACGAAGCCACGACCTCCTGTGTACCAAAGAACCAAGAATTTGAATCACCGCACAATAGTTGGCGATGGTGACGTCTACAGAACACGAAGAACCAGTGGCATCTACAGAGTATACAACGTTTAAAGCCATTCCCCGTCTTTAGTCTACATGCACCACAGCATGTTTGGAATCGACAAGTTGGACTTACCTCTGGTATGTTTTTGTTCGTAGATGTGTCTAGCTATAAGCGTAAACACGGACATGTGCTAAATGTAGGCTCACTAGCCCTTCTCGAACGTCGAGCTTTTACAAACACCAGTTACTGTCACCATCGTCTTTTGCATGGTTTTGGGGAAGTGCCAAACAATGGCTTGAGACATCGATTTTGTAATTCACATTTGTGCTGTTTTGCATACTGTAAATGGTTATAAAATTACTACGCCGTTTAGATGTAAAGTTGCTATCCTAATCTACAATCCACTGCTGGATGAAGGCCCTCCCCACGCGGTGTCGGTCATGGGACACGAGTGACCATACTTCACCATGCTGGTCAGTGAATGGGGTTGTGTAGGAATAGCTCAGACATCACTCTTCAATTACATAATCCATGGCCAAGAATCCTACTCCGGTCGCGGAGTTTAGATCGCAGTGCGCTAACCAGTGCACAACCGCTCCACCCTGCTACCATTATTACAACTGCAAACCATTGTAGCTCAAGAACGATGCCCAGAAGCTTCTTAAGTTCAAAACGGAACATGCTCGAAAAAGCGAGCTATGCGATTACATCAGAATGCGATTACATCAGAACGTGTTTACGAGTGAGGCATCATAGCTCAGGGGTGGAAATACATATTCAACGTGTCACGTCCAACGCAATGCGTAAATGCATAGCCGTCATCCAGCAGTGGATTGCGAATGACTTAGACACCGAATGACGGCGTAACTTGTCAGGACTGTGTCGGTATCTCAGAAATGCGAGCTGTATCGTATTCAGCCGTGGATGAAAGCCCCTCCACTTCCCCCGCAAGTCGCCTAGGTGTAAGCTTCTGGTTGAAGTTGCTCATGTAATCAAATGACAGAACGTTTCGCAAAGTGAACTGCATGTAAATACGTAACCTATAACTGTGCACGGAACAGTTCACAACCGAATCCTCACCCCGATTCCATTGTTACGATTGAATAATACATTATATTTTCAGTTCATTCAAAGGGATTGCTAGGATTTTTTGCCTTGGGATAATTATCAAAACGAACAAGACAGTACAAATGGCATAGCTAATTAGTCAGCATAGATAAGACAGTAAATAAACGACACCTTGATAGTTGCAGTACAGCGAGATGAACAACACAACACACGTGCCAAACAACAAAAACGAGCAGGGCTTTAATTTCAGCTGCAGCTGTCCGGGGCTGAGTTCTGGAAAATATTTTTTCGCCCCCCACCCCCCTCCTCCAATGTCGGGGGTGCGATGGGTTGAGTGGGGAGGGGGTGGGAAATTTTCCACGATAAATTAGAGCGTGCAACGAAGACGGCACTAACAAGACGAACAAATTGGGTAAGACAATTACAAAAGTCGGCAAAAAAGTAGCAACTAGGCAGGCTGTACAAAGGAGACAAGACTAGACATACCAGATAGGTGAAATCGTAAAAACGAGGCAGTACAGAAGAGACTGCATATCACAAACGAGGCCGAGACAGAACCGTACAATACTCTTTGGTTATATTGGGTAAAGTCACGTAGGTGAAAATAAAATAAAAAATCACGACGTTTCGGCCACAACACAAGCGGCCTTCATCAGGTGAAGGGACGAGACTGTCTGGAGGACAGCGCTGGAGACAGTCTCGTCCCTTCACCTGATGAAGGCCGCTTGTGTTGTGGCCGAAACGTCGTGATTTTTTGTTATTTTATTTTCACCTACGTGACTTTACCCAATAGAACCAAAGAGTATGGATCCTAGCAGTCACGAAAGCTTTAAATCTAGAACCGTACAAGGCGAACGCGTCGAATCTACACGTACACTCATTCAATGCGCATCTTGAACTGTAAACATCAATTTGGTCATTTAATTGTTGCATGGCTACTTTTCCATCATATGCTTCCCATGTACATACTTCTTATGACACACACCTTGATACTTATACAAGTTGCTGTCAACTATATAAATACCTGTAACTTCAGTAACACTCAATTTAGACTAAATGAAAAATGTATACATTCGCATGAAATGTGTAAAGAGTTTATTGAATTTCAATTAAAACTGCATTACAGCTTACACATTTTTTTGAATCTCATAAAAAGTAGAAAATTGTACTTAAGCCCGTATGAATCAAGAACGTGAATGTTTCTGGCAGTGATTTCATAAGCCATTTCATGCATGTAATTTCACTGCTTTCACGTGGCCTCCAAATGTAAAAGAAAATACAGTATCTTAAAAAAAACGGCCATGCCAGCTATTTATTAGAACTACCCTTGATGGTTTAAGGATAATATTAATTTAGTGGAATATTTTCTCTCTCTAAATATTTATATTGAACGATGATATACTGTTACAGCTTAATGTTCGGTTTAACAGTGCATTTGGCGTTGGACCAAGGAGCCCTTAGTATTGTAACATTGTCACTTATTTAACTTTACCAATCAACAAGGTCAGATAACTGCACAGCTACGGATGGAGTGTGCCAACACAACGAGCCATTAAACAAAGCCAATTAAATATCTAAAACACAGTTCTAAATTTGTTTCCAAAAGTATATTTCCGGAACAATTTCAAAAGGTGATATCACCGGGAGCAAGCGAGGGCTTTACCATTCTGGCGAATTGCTTGATGATGCTGGATGTATTTACCAGCAAAACGTCGTACTCAAACTGTAAATGTGGATTAACTCTTCAACACACCGGTGGGCTGAAGTAGTGAATTATTTGTCTTTTGTCAACGTGACACTTTTTTTGCTGATTGGCCGTGTCGGGTGGTGGAGGGTTACGACACATTTATAAATAAACGCGATCTAACCCAAAAACCTTTATTATGAATAATATTGGTCGCGAAAGCCTACGTATTAAACTGATATCACGATGTTATTTAATTCTTTAAAATTGAAATCGTAGATTTAAATTGTGTCGCTGAAGGCAAATACATATTGATTTTTCACAATGTGTAGTATTATTTGCAAATGTATTTTCCAAATAATAATCCGGGGCTAAACTACAAGCCATTTTGCATGTCGTAGTAGTGAGGGATATCAATAGATGCTAAAAGCAGTCAATGAAAATGTGCAACTATGCATGCATTGTCCACACTGCAAAAATGCAACTCCCTGTCAGTACAATCCTTTCACACATAACAAACGCGTACAAATAACTGCATTGGAATATCCGAACGAGCTTCAGGCTCCCACATGAACCAGCGTGCCATTCTATCACGAGCTCTTTTTACATAAAAATAACAAATTTAGTTAAAGAGGTCAAAAGATGCCCTGGAATGACATCATGAACTATAAGGGCGAAGAGGAAGCCGTGAAGCTGGTGAAAGACAGGCACAGGTGAAAATGTTTCATTCAGCCCAATCGTCTCTCACAGAAGACAGCAGGGAATCGAAGGAGGTTGTTCAAATGTTTTCAGTGGTTCAGGAGCCAAATCACTGAAATAACACCTCTGACACCTGGGCATAAAATTAAGATTACACTGGGTAATCGAGTGCAATGAGTTGATGGTCTCAGCCTGGTCCCAATGCCTGCACAAATAATTCAATTTATCTGGGGTTTCAATAAATTTGGCTAATTTACAGCTCGATTTGACTTCCAGGTGACATGTACGTTTCAATAGCTCTGCACATAGGCTGGTGCGCCCTAGACTGGATAATGGTCTCTCTTTAAGGGAATTGTAAAGCTTTTCGAGAATATCTTCTGTGTGCCGTTATCTAGCACAGGGGTATATGCGTTGCTCTGAGTGATTTTTATAAATACTATGAATCTAAACATTCAACGGCAATACCATTGGAATAAAATTAGAAATCGGGAAAACATACTGTTTATCAGTTTTTGCATGCAGTTTCAATTGGTTAATTGCATCAAATTAGAATATGAATCATAGCCTACGAAGGATGTAAAGACTGACTCTTCCACGATTTGATCATGATCTGATTCACAAATGACTTTTTTGGTGGTGCTTCTAAATATAAAGTATAAATATTATATAGCGGTGTAAACATACACGAGTGAAAATAAGCTATTACCACATGCACAATTAGATTGTAATAATACATTTTAATGAATGGAACATTACTACTGCTTACACTTGCATGCAAAACAGCACGTTCCGAGGAATGTTGTTTGTCCGAAGGTGCATGTAAATTAAAGTTGGCGTTGCCCCACGTTAGAGGTCATTTTCATTAATCTCGGAGGAGAGATGCAGGAAAAATGGTCCACCAATATACGAAACAACCTAATCGAGGATGATTCATTGCCTTGTAAAAGAAACATGCACGGAGAACAATGCACAAGTTTCTACTTGCTAAATTATAACTGTGTTTGCATGCTAATATAACAAATGAAAATTTGTTATTACTTTACAATAGGCATGTCACAGGGCAAATGTTGCTAGCACATGATTAATTGCACACACAGCATTTAATACATCAACATGGCAGCCTAGCATGCATCTTCACGAGCCACTTCACTTCGATACCGCAACCGCACGCAGTGGCGCTGTATACGGCACAGCACTAGCCTCCACTTAACGATCGTCGAGACTGGAACATACGTGCACTTTAAGATTCATGCCAAGGCCAAATCACTGAATGTACTTCATTTGAAAACGTGAAAGTTTGGAGCAAGTTTAACCCGTTAAACTAAAGCACCTTAAATGGGCACAATACATATATTTAGAAATAAAAATATAAACTAAACTTTTTAAATGCTACTGGAAAGGGTTAAAGTTGTGCAATAAGTTCGGAAAAAAATATTTTGTTTATTCTATACATTGCCACATTGCAATAATTTACAAATAAATACTAATCTTACAATGAACAAGGAATGTAAATATAGCTTACATAAGTCCACATCACAGGCTCCCAACGTTATTATTCCACTTTTTTCAAATATACAATGTCTACTTTGGCAAATCTACACATTAAAATATAATTAAGGCCTGTGGCTGAGTGCATAACAGACCTTATCAGTGACAATTTTCCTGAGTTTGTACTGGTTAGGATTAAAAACTGAGAAAATGTCACGTGAGATTATTTGCAACTAGCCACTGTAGTGGAATTGCATGCTTATAGTGTGAGATTTATTAATGCAACGTAGAGATAGGGAAACTATAAAAGAAACCCAATTCCAAATTAAATGTCAGATTTAAAAGGTTTCTATCAAAAAAGTAGCCATGCAAAAAGTTGCAATTTCAAATCCTAATAATTGCTTGCAAACTACTGTCTTAGGTCAATTTCAATATGATTCAATCATTTACTTCAACAAAAAAACACGTTTATAGGTACGGAATCCCTTTGTTGGTTATAAAAAATATATATAAAATGTTATATTAGTAATGGTGTAACATGCAAATGATGTTCATGATTTAAATGTCAACATACAAATCAAAGCCAGTGTTTATTTGCCGTGTCTCTTGCATACAAAACTTGTAGAAAGCTTATATAAATTTACAAAACCAACGAACATTTCTAAAGCTCCATGCCTGATCATTAGTGGCCATGAATACTCGTGTTTATTGACTCGTAAAAAAAATCAGCACGGTTACCATTTTCCATTTCTGAAAAGGTGTGCTCAAAAAATGGTCCCAAGTCATGTTACCTTTCACCATCATCGATAATATCATACATAACAGTGGTGTTTAAGGTAACCACCACTCTCGTCAACTTGACCCTAGGAGGCACCTGCTTGGCAGTGATGTCCTGTTTCTTCCGCTTTGTATGCGCCGAGAGGGCGCGTCGCTTTCACGAGCTGACAACCATGCGATGTATTTAGCCTCGAAGTGGCTTTAAGAACCCATCCTTTTCGGAATGGTTATTCCCGCTTCTCAGATGTGTTAAGAATGCCTTTGGACCTGTTGTTGATCATAATGGCTTGTCTATAACGGCAACACCTGCAATAAAAGCACTATTGTTAATTATAGTGTGCATTTCAGTTCAGTTAAACAACACCATCTTACATATGACTGAATGAAATTATTTCTAAAGCAACTGCAAAAGATATCCAAAATGTCGATCAGATGTGTCTGGCATTGAAATAGTTGCGACAAGCCGAAATTGCAATAGTCATTCTCAGAGATGCAGAGTTTGGTCATAGTTGCTATGCAACTGCCTAACTACTGCCTGTTTCGGCATCAGAGTGCGCAGTTACCAGCATAATTTCTGTCCAAGCACTAACCAACACAGCAGTATAACTGTGGCCTGTGTATTCATGTACATGCACCTACACGATTGCTAAAAAAATACATTTGTTTGACATACAAAGAGCCCCGGAGCTTTCTTATGCGACCGCAAGTGACACCTTAAAAATTCGTCTAGCCTCAGTCCACCCACACACTGACACACACTGGTCACTAATTAGGAGGTTTAAAATGTTTTCATTACAATTAGGATGCACCAACGAGATGGGAGGAGAGGCATGTTGAAACGAAAGAGCTCTGTCCACCACTCTTCCCAGCCTCTAAATACAAAAAAATTGAAACCTTCCCACAGTAGAGGTGAAGAGCTAAAAACCCCTTAAATTGCCCCACCGGACGCAAAGGCTGCCCAGTGGAAATCTTAACCTCCACGGCTTAAGCTACAGCCTTTCAGCCAGAGAGAGCATCCCCCATAAATGGGAAATTTCACTGGGATGTTTTCGATAGCTTGATAGTTGAGAGCGCTGCTTAAAGCAAAGGCTCTAAGCAACCGCTATTTCCAGTTTTAGCAGAAACTAAACTAAGGTGACATGGGTAGTGTCAGACGTTACGTAGGTAGAGTCACGACAGGGATTCTGGTATGGGAAGGTTCTGTTGCTCTCTAAAGGGATGGGTGGGGTGGTGGATGGGGAGCTCATATCTCTCATCCTGCCTCTCCTCATCCAATTGCCATTTCCTAATTTGAAATAAAATGAACTTTTTTTTCTTTCAATTACAAAAACCAACAGCGTCCCTCAGCAAGAACAGGTGAGTGGAGGCCATGAAGTTCGTGTAGGATGGTAGTGTGGTATGTTGCATAACTGTTAACCACCATGTAAGCGTAGACAATAACTCACCTGCATAACTGCGGCCTGTGCTCATGCTCACGGGCAACAGGGTCCACGAGTCCGCGCTGGGGTTGTAAAACTCGACTGACGAGAGGTTGGATGAGCCGTCGTCGCCACCCACCACAAACAGCATCCCGTTCACCGTGCACACGCCTGCCAGGGCACACGGTGGCGAGACGACACAAGGGGTTCATCACAGCGTACGTTCACGGTATTATTTTGATTAACCTGGGGTCATTTATATTACTCTTTGGTTCTATTTGGTAAAGTCACGTAGGTAAAAAATTAAACAAAAATCACGACGTTTCGGCCACAACACAAGCGGCCTTCATCAGGTGAAGGGATCAGGCTGTCTCGAGGACAGCGCTGGAGTGAAACACAGCCACGCTCAGACCTTGGACCTTTAAGCTGTGTGCGAGCAAACAAGGTGCCTTGACAAAGGAATTAGCATAAAAATTAGCATAAAAATTAGCATTTGATTGGCCGACTTTAGAAAAGAGGTGGTGTACGTGCCGGTGGACTTGCCGTTTGGCACGGGGGGGGGGGGGGGGGGGGGGGAGTTTACCTATTGATGGTGTGAAAAGGGAATTTATAAGAGCTGCGAAAGTTTGGGGTACCACTACTTGAAAAATATACTGTACCATTGAAATTATTTTAATGTTTAGTTCGATTTAGAACATCTTTCCAATGGTTGCTTAATTTTAAACCATCTTCTCGGTTGAAATTGTGTCTGTGTTTGTAGATCTGAATTGCCTCGTGAACAAATCTCTGATAAAAACCCGTGGGTTTGCAAAGAACCTTGGTATCGGAGAAAATTATATGCAAAGAACCTTGGTATCGGAGAAAATTATATCGATACCAAGGTTCTTTGCAAACCCACGGGTTTTTATCAGAGATTTGTTCACGAGGCAATTCAGATCTACAAACACAGACACAATTTCAACCGAGAAGATGGTTTCAAATTAAGCAACCATTGGAAAGATGTTCTAAATCGAACTAAACATTAAACTAATTTCAATGGTACAGTATATTTTTCAAGTAGTGGTACCCCAAACTTTCGCAGCTCTTATAAATTCCCTTTTCACACCATCAATAGGTAAAACTCCCCCCCCCCCCCCCCCCCCCCCCCCGTGCCAAACGGCAAGTCCACCGACACGTACACCACCTCTTTTCTAAAGTCGGCCAATCAAATGCTAATTTTTATGCTAATTCCTTTGTCAAGGCACCTTGTTTGCTCGCACACAGCTTAAAGGTCGCGGTCTGAGCGTGGCTGTGTTTCACTCCAGCGCTGTCCTCGAGACAACCTGATCCCTTCACCTGATGAAGGCCGCTTGTGTTGTGGCCGAAACGTCGTGATTTTTGTTTTATTTTTTACCTACGTGACTTTACCGAATAGAACCAAAGAGTATGGATCCTTGCAGTCACGAAAGCTTTAAATCTAGAATTAATTTACATTACTTCAGCTTAACCTGCTATTTAGGTAATGTGCCGGTTTGGGAAGTATTTTGAAACATAGCTTACAGTGCCAAGAAAAAGTTTGTGAACCAATTAGGATTTTCACATTTTACATATTTCAAACCTAAAATGTTATTAGGTCATAATATAAGTCCTAATAATATATAGAGATAACCTGAATAAACAAATGATGCAAAAACATGCTTATCTTTCAACATTTATTCATCCTGAAATGATTCTACATTCAATAACCACGTGTGAAAAAGTATGTGAACCTTTAGATTCAGAAACTGGTGACACCCCTTGAGCAGCAATGACTGAAACCGTTGGTCAGTCTCTCACATCGGATTTGAGGAATGTTGGCCCATTCATCCTTACAGAACTCCTTCAACTCGGTGCATTGAGGGTTGCCTTGCATGGACATCTCGCCTCAGGTCCTGGCACAACATTTCGATGGGGTTTAGGTCTGGACTTTGACTCGGCCATTGTAAAACATTGAATTTCTTCTGCAGCCATTATTTTGAACATCTGCTTGCAGGGGCGGAGCCAGGATTTCAGGCCGGGGTGACATTCAACAAATTTTAATTTCAAGAATGATTAGAGAGTCAGGCTGTTGAACTAGACGCCATCGGTTGGTGACACGCTCTGACAATGCAGTTGCACGGAGTCCGCCAGACCGAGTGTCGTACACTTATACGCAGAATGTCACCCCTGTCACCCCCCCTGGCTCCGCCCCTGTCTGCTTGTATGTTTAAGATCATTGTTTTGCTGCAAGACCCAGTTTGGTTCAGCTTCAGCTCACGGACGGACGGCCTGATATTCTCTTTGTTCATCAAAAACTCTGAACATCTCGTAAATGTGATTAAAGATATTAAGCTTAACCCTAATGATATTCTCGTAAGTTTTGATATGACCTCTCTGTTCACGAGGATTCCGGTCAACGAGTCAATTAAATTACTCGACACTCTGGTAATGAACAAAGGTTTAGCCAAACATATCCCAAGACTAGCTGAACACCGTCTAAATAACACCTACTTCTTGTGGCAAGGTGACTTCTATAAACAAAAGGAAGGAGCAGCAATGGGCTCTCCTTTGTCTCCTGTGATAGCGAATTTGTACGTGGAAGATTTTGAAACAAAAGCAATAGCTTCAAGCACACTAAAACCCTCTGCTTGGTTTAGATATGTGGAAGACATTGGTGGTCTAAAGCATCTCAACTCGCAAAACCCATGGAAGCTGACAGAACTCTACCATTTCTGGACATTCTGCTCAGACGGGGTAGAAATGGTAAACACAGTGTTTACCGAGAGAAAACGCATACTGATACCTATCTGAATGCAGAGTCACACCATCACCCCGCACAGAAATCTGCTCTTATCAAGACGCTCATTCATCGAGCTAAGAAAGTGTCAGATGGTGACAGTCTGAGAAGTAAAATTAACATGTTAAAGAAGCGCTGAAAATGAACGGTTACAATAATGCACAAATCAACAGAGTATTGAATACCAAAACCAAATCAAATAACAAGAGGATTGAAACTGCCCAAGTAATTAAAACGATAAAAATACCGTACATTGCGGGAGTAACTGATAAACTAGCCAGATGTTTGGAAAAACAAAACATCCGAGTCAGATTTGGCACTGTACATGAAGTACAGAAATTAATATCTGGTACAAAAGATGTATTACCGAAGCTATCAACAGAATATGTGTACAGGATTAACTGCACGTGTGGTAAATGTTATGTTGGGCAAACAGGATGAATGATCAGCACTAGACTAAAATAACATCAGAAAAATATTAAATTCTCCCAAATACAATTGTCAGCAGTAGCAGAACACGCGTGCCAAAAAGGACACCGAATTGATTTTGATAATGTTGAAGTTTTGTGAAAAACTAGCTACTACTGGCCAAGACTAATTAAAGAATCTATCGAAATAAAAAAAAATAAAAATAACTTTCACCATTCGGATAGCTATCGCCTTAGTGCTGCGTGGAAGCGAATCATCAAAAAACACATTATTTGAATGTATGCCTACAAAGGGCAGCGTACTTCAACAGGGATTACCGTTGGTAGGGATATTTTAATAAACAATAGACAGGAAGGACAAGTTCAAAGGGCTCGCATAATGCACATGCATAATGTACGTTGCCTCAGTAATCCCCCCCCCCCACATTGTGAAAGAGCGCAGAAGCGTGGTCAACACATCTACTCCTCTATATAAGGAACGAAACAGAAAGATTTCTCCACAAATCTGGCTGTCGCCTGATGAAGCTAGTTGTAATTATTGGTGAAACGTCGTACTCAGATTGTAAATGTTGTGGCTTGGCTCTCCAACACACCGGTGTTCTGTACTAGTGAAGAATTGGCACGTTCTGTTTACGTGACAACCCTTACTAGTTGGCTGTGTCGGGTGGTGGCGGGTTTTAACGACATATATATTTACGTGATCTAACCCAAAAACCTCTATTATGGATGACATTCTCCTCTACAATCTTGATACAATGCAGAATTAATTGTTGTGTCAATCTTCTCAGGCAGCAAAGCAGTCCCAAACGATCACATTCCCACCACCATACTTGACGGTTGGGATGAGTTACTCTTTTTTTCGGTAAAGTCACGTAGAAATAAGAAATAATAATAAAATAAAATTACATAATTATTTCTTATTTCTACGTGACTTTACCGAAAAAAACAAAGTGTAATTCCTGCAGTCATGAAAGCTCCAAATCAGGTTGGGATGAGGTTCTTCTGTTCGAAAGCAGTGTTTGGTTTTCGCCAAACACAAACGTTTCTCATTGAGGCCAAAAAAGTTCTACCTTTGACTTGTCTGTCCAGAGAATATTGATCCACAAGTCTCGTGGATCATCTATGTGCTCTTTAGCGAACTTTGGATGGGCAGCAATGTACTTTTTGGAGAGCAGTGGTTTTCTCCTTGCCAACCTTCCATGAACACCATTCTTGTTGAGTATTTTTCTGATAGTTGAGTCATGAACATTCACATTAGCCAAGGCAAGAGTGGCTGCCAGATCCTTGGATGTTTCTCTAAGGGTTCTTTGTGACTTCCTTGATGATTTTCCAGTTTTTTCTTGCAGAGAATTTGGTAGGATGACCACTCCTGGGTAGTGACTGTGGTCTTGAACTTTCCCTATTTGTAGACTGTCTGACAGTGGATTGGTAGAGCCCCAATTCCTTAGAAATGGGTTTGTAACCATTTACAGAATAATGAGCATCAATACATTTTTCTGAGGTCCTCAGATATATTTTGATCATGGCATAATTTGTTTCCACACGCCTGTATGGTGAAGACTAAACTCACAAATCGTCTGATCTTTATAATGGGTGGGGCCTCCTAAACGCATTGCTAAAGATCTACCTAATTATTTAAAACACGTGATTCTATTATTCCCTTAATTGAGCTAATGAAACCAGGGGTGTACTTATTTTATCACCTTAATTTTTTACCTTAATTTTTTGTTTGTTTAATTCATACACCTTTTTATTTCAAAAGACATGGAATTGGTTAATAGAAACCCTATTGGATATTTGAACCTCATGGTGGGACCCCAGGGTCCCGAATAAACAGAAGCCAAAATCGTAATTAATTTATTCATTTTTGGCGACTCCGTCCCACCGCGCACTGTTTTTCTTTCCCATCTTGTTTGTTCCGCATGATCTGAATGTTGTCTACTCCATCCGTGTGCCGCTACCGTGCAGACAAGTATGCCGAGGTTAAGTATGATGTAATTCCTCAAAACCAACCTGCATTCCGCCGGCACATGTTCATATCGGCCACCTGCCGCCACGAGTTGGTGGGCGGGTTGAACACCTCTACACTCTTCCGGACCAGTGGCCCATCGTGTCCACCCACGGCAAAAAGCAGTCCATCCAAAACACCAACACCTGTGTCAAATCATATCGATTATTGTGTTTGTTTTATTCACACGTTTACCAAATTAACATCACGTAAACTGTACAGTAGTAACCCTATCATCATTTAATGCTGGAGATAACATCAGAATGTGGTTTATAGTGTGTTAATGTTTGGTAATCTTTGGCCTTTATAACTGTGGTATAATTAGTTAACTAATATACAAAGGAAGGATTTAAATTATATAATTGGCTTCATATACATTTGGAATTCCTAAAACACTAGGATGATTGTATTTATTTTGTTCTTCTGAACAAATGTTTTAATTTGAAATACATAACAGCATTGTATGCAAACTTCACACATTACGTGTCAAAGCTACTTATTCAGAAATCAAGAAGAAAATGTAAGACTCAAGGTATCCTTAACAGACATTATTGATGCATTACCCTTTTTCATGGACTATCGTGTTAATTTCATGAAAAATAGTATTGTTGACATTTCCTACCTGATCACAACATTAAAAGTAGAGCTCACTCAAGCAGTGGGCACAAACATTTGCGTAATTGCCCATAACATAAAACCGAAGATGACAGTAACAAATTGCACATTCGTAATCAGACAGTAACATTAGATGTCCCAAAAGCCTGCAAATGTGCAGGCGCTTGAATTGCAGTGGGGATTAACGTCACGTTAATTGGCAATTTAAGAGGAATAAAATCTCTGTCACATTTTTCACATCTCATGTGGCTCAGTTACATTGCAAAATCTTTCATGTTTTCTTGAGATACTCAATACTAATTCCTAACAATCACCAATACAATATCATTGTTTTAAAAGTACATAGAGGTTATTCATCATAATTTATAATTTTGTATTACTTATTTCCAAAGTAGGAAATTACCTATCTATTTTGTAAATATCAAGTAAATGTGTTTCAAGTTATCGTAAGGGGCCATCCATTTCATACTTTCGCAAAAATCTGACAAAAATTGACGCCTCCCCCCCTTCCCTGTAGGCACGCGTACTTTTTACACCCCCCCCCCCCCACCTGCGTACGTACGCTTGACGCACCCCCCCCCCCCAATCCTAAAGAACACCCGATATTTAATCCAAGCAGAAACGATCAAGGATTAATAATATTAATGTGTTTAAGCAAACAGATAGTCTACCACCAGACTATCTAACTGATTTGAAGGCCAATGTAGACAAATTAATTATTATTGAGGCTTCACCCCCCCCCCTTTCCTTTCCTATGTGTATGTAAATTGTTAGTAGACACCCCCATATGCAAGCTTAAGCATTTGGGTTAACCCCCTCCTCCCCCCTCCATACGTACATACTAAATGGATGGCCCCTAAGTAAAGCTTTTGCCGAAGGGTGCTGGAACAAGAATGCTTTTAAGCGTTATCCCATTGCATGTGTGAGGTTTCCTGGGGTATTCCAGTTTCTTCCGACATGCATAAACATCTAACCAAAAAGGGGGAAAATGAAGCTTGAGCTTCAGGTTGAGTGAGCCTTTCCTGAATAAAATAAATGCTACGACAGGTGCACAAATGAGACGCAATCATGTATTACCGTACCAGCTCCACTGCGGCGAATGCTCATTTCCTTTACATACGTCCACTCATTCGAAATTGGGTTGAATGCCTCCACAGAGCCCAGACACTGGCGAGAAGCTCCATCATAGCCTCCCACAGCATACAGAATGCCTGCATTCGATTGTCATACACACAAGAGACGACGATATTTCTTAAGACTGCTAGAATAAACTTAGTGAACACTTTTTTTTATATGACAATATATAAAGATACTGATGGAGCCAGCACCATGCCTATCCTGTCTGCTATGTTACCTCTCGTCCACAGCAAGTGGGAACTGTTGGTTTGGTTCTTGCACCCTGCTGGGCCCCAAGAGCTCATTTCCCCACAGCAGCCCGACACGATGTCAAACTAATCTCATGGGAGCTTGAAACCCCCATCCCCACGCTTGGTTATTGACCCACAAACTTAGAGCTCGGATGATCCCAGAACCAATTGTGAGGTGAAGGGATAAACGCTGAAGTGAGACGCAAGCGCCGTTACGGCACTCACTTGATTCAACTTCCAGGCTTTGATAGTAACAATATGAAAAAAAATTACACCTCAAAAAAACTTTGAAAGAAAAAAATATACATTAAGATTGTCTTGACCTTAATTCCCTGACTGCAGAAGGTATAAAGAGGAAGAGTAGCAGGTGGTAATAGAACCAAGCCCAAAGAGCCTTGGCCTTGGAGAACCTGGTTCCCAAAAGTCATGGAAACAAGGCATTAATCGCGACTGAACCAGTGATGTTGTTGACGTGACACACCAGACACTTATTTTTGGCTGAGCTGACATTCAGCTCCTGCATGACTGTGCCTAAATTAAGCAGCCAATTTAAATGACACAGAGCCATGATCGAAGATATTAAATGTGACCAAGAAGGTTGGCAAATACTCAAAACTGAGAAAATAAACTGTTGTACAGTGTGCTAAATTCCACACTGCTGCTCCAAAATGCACGCACGCACAAACAGTTTATTGCTTTGGATAAATGTACTTGTGCTTAAAATTAAAATCTGGAGAAATCTATGACACAACCCAAGGCCAACATAATTGCAGCCTGGTACATTTGGAATTCTGATGCGACTTAACAACAACACCAAACTGAATCACCAGAATTGAGTCATGCACTTGTAAATGCCTCAGCCACAAGTGTGAATATGGAAAGCCAAACAGTACAGACAATTATCATCACACTGAAAGGGTAAACAGCTGCTGAATGGATGTATTGCGTTTTGGAGAAAACGGTCTGTAAAAACATTAATAAAACATGATTTTAAACCCATTCCTCTCTACTAGGGCCATACACATTTCAGAACTCAATTGTTCGAAAAAATAATAATCTGATAGCCTCAAAATGCAGAGTTCACACAAATATGTGAAATGTAGCATCTGGAAATAAAGATGCCCGATTTTCCTAACTCATGGTCATGCCAGAACAGACAACACCGCACATCTATTTATGAAGCTACATATTGACGCAAATCATAAAGTATAGCTGCAAGCGGGGGTAAATAAAAAATATATATGATCAAGTACCGAATGTACCTGGGTGGTTGCTTTCACAGTAAATCTGACATTACACCATCTATTGTCGTTTTTTTTTGCAAGCAGTCTTAAGAGTGTTATGAAAATGCCCGAAGGTCAGACACTTCCGAGTCATTCTGACAAGAGTAAGATGACAGTATTGTGATGCAATGCAGGGCAGACAGGCACAGTGGAGAACGAGGTACAAATATTAACTCAGCCGAAGCACAGGCAGGGGACTAGGGAAACAAACTGGTACACAAAGAGTGCTCACGAACGCAGGCAATCAAACATTATTTGAACACTGGGGGGGAGCACATATGTATGTTGAACTTCTTTGACACTGTATGTAGCCAAACGCTAATCAGAGGTGTGGGGGAAGGACAACAAACTAAACACAAAAAGCAGTTTAAAAAAATTAAAACAGCAACTTAAACATACACTGACTCATGTTGCCGTGCTGCTATAAAGCAATACAATTATGAAACAATCAATGCCAAAGCTGGGTGATAAATGTTAATGTTTTAGCATTTTAGCAGCAGTTACATTAAAGAATTATACACATTGACAGCATTTCCTGGTGCACATTCAGCCTAAAGATAATCTAGTGTAGCAAGAGGGTGCTGAGCCTTGAAACCCCTTGAAAACAAGACAATTTGATAGTTTAGCAATTGCTGATCACTGTACAAATACACTCAGGACAATAGCACAGGAATAGCCTACTTCTGTGGCCAAATGACAACATATAATATTGTAAGTGCACACAAATTTGCCAAAATAACATTCAACTGTTCATTTAACTGATGTGCAAATATCAGAACAGCTACATATGCACGAACCACCTTTTGAAAGTGAACAATGGAGCCATAAAGAGCAGCTTGCGATGTTTCTTTTTATTCTTAGCATCTAGGTTGGTTTAGTTAGGTTTAAGAGATCTTGGCATTTACAATTAATCATACAGTTAATCATACTTGATTGTCTTGTGTGACTTAGACAAATTGCAGTGTGTTGTATATATAGGCCTTTTTCCAAAAATTAATATTAAAAATAATTATGCCATTTTTTAAATAATAATAATCGATCAAATAAATAAATAAAACACCCTCTACCTCCCACAAGCACCAAGCATCTGGAGGTCATAAAAGGTCATTAAATAATAAACTCCGGGGCAAAGGGAGGTTAACGACGATCTGAAAAATCTCCAGATTGCCAAAGGACCGCATGCCATGACCTGCTTGGCGCTTTGGACAGTTCACAAACAAATATCCAGACTCATAGGCACGGACACAGAGCACAGGGCAAACGGACATTATAACTGATATATATTTTTTTACGGAAAAAGTTGAAGCTTGGCTATAAGAATAAGTCGACATTATAGACTGCAGTATTCCTTATATTATTTCTTATTGTATCTTTCTATCTACGTGACTTTACCAAGATAACCAAAGTACATGAGTTCCTGCAATCACGAAAAGTTAAGTCCAAACTAAGCTATATCTCTGACCACGAGAATAAAAAGCACGGATCCCTGGATGCAGACAGGGAGCAAAAAGTAATAAAACCCTTGAAATACCGGAGGTAACATCTAATGACATTACAAATCTTGGTTAAACATAAACCAAATAATAATCACAAGAGATTAGACCTAGGGTAAGTCAAAAGAGATACAAGAAAATAGGTCAAACACACAAGACCAGATACTATGTATTCCATGAAATCAGAGCCTCCCTGGCCGCCTTTGTCTTCCAACAATTTTACACAAACACATGGTAGCCATAATATACGTATGAAGGGAGAGTGCCTCCCCTCCCTAATAGGAGAGACCACGAAGAGAGGGGTTGGGAATGCAAACAAACAAAATGTGATAGTAAAAAAAAGGTCAAAGGTCAAAAAGGGGGGCGGCAGCCAGGCCACTGCTGCCACGGGAGGACGGTGACAGAGGTCATCTGTTGTTTTTTCTCTCGCAAGAGACACGGAAGGAGGAGGGAGAATTTCACATTTAAGCTCGGCTAGGGGCAGCTCTGCAAGGAGGAGCGCTGCGAACGACAGAGTCTTGCTAAGGGACAGGCTTGGCTCCGGGGCATGGCCTCGAGAGCAACCATGGGTGTCGTGTCTCACAGAGAAGGGACGACGTGTTGTTAAGAGCTGAGTTCGGCATGAACCGACAGAGTATCGCTGAAAGTTTTATTCTACATTTATTCTGATGTTTTGAGTCGCTTGCGGAATCGAGGATTGAGATAAGCTGTATTGTACTAAGCTATCAGAGTTGTGCAAGAGGTGTGCAAATACAATTTTCAAGTTTTGAGAGTGAGTGATCCAGCCAGCGACGAGCAGTTCACAGCAAGAGCCCTCCTGGAAGAAGGGTGAAGAGCACGAAAATTGAGCAACGACAAAGCGCAGCCCTGAAGTAAGGGCGGGTGTCCGTGTGAAGCTGGCAGCTGCACGATCAAGGAGAGAGCAAGAGAAATGGGAGGGAAAGAGTGCCGAGCGACGACAAGCAATCAACCTGGAGAAAGGACGGAAAGCGCCAAGCATCGACCAAGCCAGCATCACAGAGAACCAGCTCCACCGAGCGAGGGTGTCTGCCACCAGCGAACGAGCTGCACACGCAATCGAGCATCGCCAGAGAGAGAGACGGAGCAGGAGAGAGTGGGCAGCAGCGCCACCAGCGCCACCAAGCAAGGGAGACAGCTGCCAGCGGACAAGCGTTGTGCCGACTCGGCTCATCCAGCAGGGGAAAGAGCCTGACCAGCCGCCCGTGAGCAAGAGTGTCAGCGCCAGCGAGCGCGCCGTGGGTTCGACCCACACGCACACCGACCAGCACCAGCTGGGCACCAAGACGAGAGTGAGGAACTGCAGCGAGCGGACGAGCTGCGGGCGCTATCTGACGACGGATCATCGCGCACCGACGGCGAGCGTCGTGCCGACTCTTCCACCCAGCTGTGGACGAAACTGTGGCCGCCTCGAGCAAGAGAGAGAACGAAGCCGTTTGTACGACCCTCCCCCACACTCACACCCTCGCGACGCATCGCCCGGCGTCTGCTTTACGCAAAGAATTGAACAAGTGGCAAAGAAGACACACAACACGCATATCGGGACAAATAAGACTGTTCCAAAAAGTTGTGTTTCAAGAAGGGTTGCCATTCCAAGGTGGTGCATTAAATATCAACTGATCGTGAAGAACATTGCTGCCCATTGAGTTACGTGGATACGGTCATTTAGAAGTATTTTAGTCGTTCGTTTTTTTCTTTTTAATTGTATAATCTTACCAATGAATTAATTGATAACTACTCTTGCCTTCGGGACACGTTTCTTTATTGCCCTTCGTATGAATATCGTTGCATGAATGTTTAAGGACTTTTCCTCTCGCCGTGTATGCTCGCGTACTCTGAGGAATAATCAATTGTACTGTTACCCAGTTAACAAACGTGACCATTGAGGGTTAAATGTATAGATCAATGAGGGGAACATCTCCAGGAGTACTGTGTTGACAATTCCAAGCATAGGAGTTAAGGTTTGTTTAGAAATTAAAATTGCTCAACACAAGTGTCTGAGTGGTGCCTTCCTAAGTTCATGCGTAATAATCTTAATTATAAGAACTGTATCCTGCGGTGAGATTTGAATTTGGAGACCTGATATAAACACACTAAGACATAATCAGTAAATGTTAAAGCAAAAATAATTGTATGATACTGATTGATAATACAACCCTAGACAACGAAGCCGAGCTTAATCTAGCATACTTACATCACATCTGCATAACTTCATACAATTGTCTTATCCCGATTGATAATACTACCCTCGACAACGAGGTGAGGCCTAATTACCATAATGGTTTTAATTAGCATAATCGCATGCAATCAATACTATTATCTCTCTACTTAACATAATTTATGTGGATACTTACATAAATTTGCATTATTTTGGATAATTACGCTTTAAAAAAAAAATGCATCCAATTTTTATTAAATTTTCAATACCCAGCATAAACAACATATTACACACACTGTTCTTAAATACACTCGATATTAAGTTGAAACAGAAACAATAGCAGTACAAATGAGACAGCAAGACGGGACAAAAATGAATACATTCTGAATTGTGACCCTGAATCATAACAATTTAACACATGGCTGGTGAGTTACCATCCATCCACCAATCTCCTACCATGTGGGTCTGGGGGGATTGTTGGCTGTTAGGCATGTGATGAGTGATGAGGTTGTGATATGGCAGGGATCCACATTGGAGTAGTGTGGCTCATTATGAAACTGACATGTTATCATCTTTATTGCTATTGCAGACAATAGGGATTAAAATTTTATAATAAAAAAAAATGTATTTGCACATTAAATGTCTGGATATCACAACTAAAGGTTTTAGTTTTACATAAACCTCATATTTGCAGAGGAATATATGACCCCTGATGGAATATACAATTATCTGCCTAAGGGGGAAACTAATAAGACAACTTTCGATTTAAAGCTTTCGTGACTGCAATGATTCATCTTCTTTGGTTCTTTCGGTAAAGTCACGTAGAATGAGAATAAAATAATAAATTGATAAAATAATATTATTATTATTATTTTGTTATTTTATTTTATCAATTTATTATTTTATTCTCATTCTACGTGACTTTACCGAAAGAACCAAAGAAGATAATAAGGCAACTGCTGAGGAAGGCTTGGAACCTTCAATGATTGGCTTTATTTTTGGTTGATTCAGTTTAAATGCCTCAAAATACTCCCAAAAACATTCAGCAGTACTCGGCTAGATGTTTATTATCTGTAGGTATATTTATGCTGTAATTATGTATATAGAGTTGGGAGACGCCAACACGAACGGTCATATTTCTATGGCCAAATCTGTATTTAAAATCTCTATTTGATTGATTGGGATTCCTACCTAGTCTGTAAAATTTACCCAATTACATTACAATTCCAAGGTGGTGATAACGGGAGGACTCATGAAGCCTGGCTGGCCGAGTGCAATGGCCATTGAAACATATGCTCGATATTGAGTTAAACATTTTCAATTGCACACTGGCAGGTTTCGGGATCGACCACCAGGAACGCCACTGCGACCTCGTGGATTACTATTCAGACCACCGTGATTTCCACTTGGCACCACCTGGCTGAATATTTGGCCCATAAAAACCATCGGGACTAAAACTGGGACCACTGGTCTACACCACCAGCTGGAATAGCGGCTGATACCATGACAGTGAGTTTGGAATGTTCACTCCTCTCTACATGATCCACCAACTTTTGCCTCCGAATCATTGGATTATAGGTGTGCACTAAAGCTCCAGTATGCAGCATAATCATATATTCTTGAATTTAATTGTCACTTATCGATTACAATTCTATACAATGTTAAAAAAAAAATTGTGAATTGAATTGTAAATACATGGTTAACAAATATCAACGACGTGCTTCCTGCAGCATTAAAAATAATAATTTCACATTGAAATAAAACAAGCATCCGATTAGCCACTCAGAATGTGACCCAATGTTTATTGGGTCACAATCGGATCCAATCTCAAACTGTATGCATTTCTGAAGTGTTTCCAATTTTTACTGAAGAAAGTGGGTTGATCCAATTCTAAAGCAACCAAAGCTAACAAATATCACTATAAAAACCCCACAAAACTTGAGTGTAATTAATGCCTTAGAATCCATTTGCACAATCTAGGGGACGTTCTGCATTCGTCACACCGGTCATTACCTCCTACGACACCTACACCCACACTGCTGCGCCGAGTGTTCATGGAGGCCACATGCACCCACTCGTTGGTCTTGTAGTTGTATGCCTCCACCGTCGCCAGCCCTGGAAAAAAAAGCCAGCAAAAGGCAACAGCCTTGCAGTCCTAAAAGTCTTCTCACCGATGGACACATGACACTTGTCTGGTTAAGCAGCACGCCTTGAAACAGATCGGCGTATGTGTGCGGTTACATTGTCTTGCACAGCTCAATTGATTGCTTGGCTTTTAACCACTTAATAAAAATACAATCTTAAAAGGGATTAAAGTATATGCATTTAAACGTGAATGCAAACTGACTATTCTTCACACATAGCAATTAAATAAAGTGAATGGCAAAATTCGCTCTCTCGTGTTGCCGAAAAGGCAAGGTAAGTCCAGGGTACAAATGCCATTAAGTATAAACAGATTTTGTCCAAAATTGTATTTTTAAATCTATTTACTTGATATTAAAACAATAGGATAATTTGCAACATAAAATGAGCCAGTATTTAAGTCATGGTTCCGCCAACACAGGTAAAGTAATGATAAATATTAATTGCTGCAAATGACATACAATATATGGACCTCCCGTGATGGGAATACAGTTGTCCCTCACTATAACGCGGTTCACCTTTCGCGGCCTCGCTGTTTCGCGGATTTTTTTTAGTGTAATTTTGCATGCTTTTTTTTCCTGCGTACAGTATGAACGCGCATTGTGTTCGGCGTCCTGATTGGCTAAGGGAGAACCGCACATGTGTTCTGCGTCCTGATTAGCTAAGGGAGTACAGAATGCGTTAGGCTAGCCAGATTTACAAAAATGTTTGGGCTTGAAAACAGGTTTTGATATTTGGTTTCATTTACTAATATTGTACTTATTTTTTTAAATCTGCGAAAGTTTGAACTTTGAGAGTGTTTAAATAAGAGAGAAATATGAGAAAATGTTAATGCCTGTCTGAGAAAAGTGTATAAAAGTGTGTGGTTAGGGGTTTTACGGCCTTAAAACATGTATAATAATTGTAAAAAATAAAGCTGATTACTTCGCTAATTTCGTCTATTGCGGGTTATTTTTAGAACGTATCCCCCGCGATAAACGAGGGACCACTGTATTCCGATACCACCCAGCTTGTGAATTAGTAACTCTCACGATGTTAGTTTTCCCACATTGGATATAAACACAAGGCATGAATGAGTATGACATGCAGACGGAATGTTTATTTAAACCACATGATATCCCAGTGAGACTATCAATCTATTTTTAAACAGAGACCTGGGTTATAAAAGCATGCATATAAAACGGGTAAAGCAAATACAGCGCAACTACAAAACACAAGGCAACTATGGAGTATAGCTTGGGATATTTTGGGAACTTCATTGAGTTAATTTGGTTTGGCTGATCCAAAGTAAATGCCAAAGATCATTGAACATGTTGTGGTGTGACCGAAGAAACTTGCAGTGACCCATCTGAGTGTTGAGTCTTGGCCAAGGCTAACATTACCGGTCTTAGTTGTGCACAAAAAGACGAAGCAAAAGCAATGTCCAACCAATGTTAAATATTTCAGCTTTGGAAGCCAAAATTAACTTTGGCCACGGTTATAATTGGATGGCCTATTCTTAGAACACTCGAAGCTGAAATGGTGCTGAGCAAAGTGAAATGAACGGGTACCCCGTGCGGCACCACCGTGTTTTGCCGTTGTGGTTCTGGCCGCTTACCCGTGCTGCCGTCGAAGCCGCCCACGGCATACAGCACGCCATTGAGCACGGCGGCACCCAGCGTACTGCGCCGGTCCTGCATGTTGGGCGCCGCCAGCCACACGTCCTTGGCCGCGTCGTACACGTCCACGGTGCGCACGCGCAGGGAGCCGTTGAAGCCACCCACCGCATACACCATCCCGTTGAGCACCACCACGCCTAGCGTCAGCATGTACAGGTATAGACAAAGATCCCCCGTATAGCAATTAACAGACTGTTGGGGCAAGTGCCGTTAGTGAGCACTGATGAAGGCCAGAACGGTACACGAGGGGGTGGGCGGCCAGCACCACGCCTGAACGCCTTTGTCTCCCGGTGGTGATGTTTACTACACACCGCATCAGGTACTCATTTGAGGCCGAGTCGAACGAGGGGAGGTCCATGACTGGTTCAGGTATTTGTTACTGGTGTTGGTCGTGATGCGGGAATCGAACCCGGGTCACAGGGTTCGTAGCGCAGTAACGCTAACCTGGTACACTACCGCACCCGACACGTGCAGTCACACACACATACGCAGAATTACTCAATTAAATCCACAGACTAAGGCAAAAATTTTACAGGTTGTTGACCAGACTAAGACGAGAACCAAAATCTAAATAATGAGCACTAAATTAACAATACTTCACTGCTAGGATGCCGAGATGTTGGATGCATGCTGAGGCCTATGTATAAATAACTCTGTGGCCGTAAGGTGAAAATGAATAACAATGAACTCGATGCAATGTGGTAAAACTTTTACAAGGGATGTTAATGAGAGGTCACACCAACTGAGGGTTGTAATAACTGTATATTGTAGACTCATGTTTACGTACATTATCAATAAACATTTTCATACTATATTTTACATCAATTGGGGCTACAATATTGAATAATAAAGCAGTACATTAGTTTTTTTTTATGATCTTACATGTTTGCCTCGGTTGAAAATGATTTGTGCACTATTTATATAAAAAAATGTAAATACTTGCAGCTGCCTTTTTGCTATATCGCCCACAATTGTAATCTATAATAAACCATTCAACTCATTCTAAAAATGTAGTTAATTAATTGTGTCGTTCAGATGGACAAGAGTCAATGCAGTTAGTGTATTCCCCAGTGCGTTTTTCCCCCAAACAACCCACTGAAGTGTACATTGTGGAGCCAGTAAGGGCGTTCCACTAATTTTTTTCTCAGGATGCAATGTACTCACTGTAGTGTGCGCTTCTTCAATGGAGGAAGAGCAAAACCACACAAACTCTCCGGAAGCCCTCGTGGCTATCATATCTCAACATTGGCATTCATCTCCTGAACATATTCCCAAATGCAAGAAAATAATAGTGTGCAATGAATGTTGTTGCACTTATACATGTGTCCACTGAAGAGTGTAGGGGTGTTGTGGGAAGGAAATACACAGTGTGGGAAGGTAACACACAGCCACACCTTGGTGGCTACAACCACGTCCGCTATAGCCCCACCCTCAGTGGTGTGTGGGTATTAAGGGTGGGGAGCCAGAGAGCACGGGGCAGTGTGTTGGGGCCAAGAATGAAGAACCAGTGAAGAAGGAAGGCCGGCTAGATAGACCCTGGGACTTCCCTGACCGCTGTTCTTTTGAGGGCCGGCAGGGCAAGCCAGTGGTGCGGCCCCAGAGCCTCAGAGCCGGAGCCCTTTTAAGGGTCGGTCTGGTTGGTGGGGTGTCGTGATCTGTTGCTTGACCAGGGCCAGATCAGATAGCCTCCTTTAGCGCCTGTAGCTGGAGGAACTGGGAGCACAGAGATTAGGCTAGATAGCCTAGGGGGTGTCCCAGCGTGAATACGGGCGAAGGGGCCGTTACCCCTTCCAGTGTAACCCTTGTTAAAGTGAATAAACAGTGCTGCCTCTACTCCACCGTCTCCGTGTCCCGTGAACCCACTACAAGAGCACCGAGCATTTCAGTTTAATTTCCTTCAAGGCAATCACTTAGCTTCTTAGCTGCCCAGGGTTAGGCTATTTGTTACTCGGATGATAATGAGCAACTAACAAGAGCACAGCATTGTAAAATGTGCTCTCTGAAAATTAAGGCTCTCAGCGAAATGGTCAGTTTATAATGTGGTGTTGGAAATGACAAGACACGCTGCATGCTGTTAATTTAAATGGTTCGCCAGAAAAAATGACAAAAAATGTGCCTTATTCCAGTTGACTGGGAGGTGAGAAGGTAATACTTTTGCAATATCCTCCACCTAAAATGTCTGAGATTGATTTACTGAAAATGCTGTTAAGCTTATATCAGCTGGCATAGATTTTAGACTATACGAACACTTAAAGCAGAGGAGTCTGGTGCTTAGATACTTGCAGTGAGAGTGCTTCACAATGATCTCTTTTACAATACCTTTCATGTGAAAGTTGTAATATCCAAGTTGTACAGCATGTAAATCAGAAAGTGACCCAGATGCAAGGTTTGATGTTTTCAAAATTCTTAGCGTATGCATATGTAAGCATACACTGATGCTGGCAACTTACTTAGCAAATATTACAGTACTAATTTTTCTTGGTGAAATTGAACGAACATAAATATATTTTTTAAATGTCATCAAAGTGGTACATGTAAAATGGCAAGGACTGCACCTTATTGAAGTACTGTCACTGAAAAAAGACAAAATGGCAGTGAAGTAGAGTGAATAAGTCATAATTGGTAAACAGACTGATTAGAACTTTGAAGAAAAAACATATGAGTAAAAAAAAAGGATTGAACATGATTAGCAGAAAGTGTATAAATCAGTTCAGAATTAAACAGACTGTGCATGGATCAGAATGTGACCTAATAAAAATCACGGTCACATCCTGATTGACTTTGCATGATCAGCTGACCCAAAAGAATGATGTTAAACATTAAATCCAAACTGCAATAAAAAATAAATGGGATAAAGACCCCCACCAAGTGCATAAACTGTTCCCCTAATGTCCAGCATTGCTGTAATGAACCCAAGCAATGGCTTGGGTTCAATTCCCAAGTGACGACTGTATTTTAATATATTTATTTAAAAGCCATATATTACACAATGCAAAAACTGTAAGAGAAGATTAATTAAAAAGCTTTCTTTGCTCATGAAATTCGAGACTAAGTCCCAACATCCCAACACAGGGCATCTAACGCCCCATGTTACAGTGACAGTGGTCGTCATGGGATAGTCTCAATGTCAATAAACAAAATTGCTTCTCAGTCCAAGTACAATCTTATGACTTGCAAACCAAAATAGTTGAATGTTTCTGATCTCATTTAATGGAGTACTGCATAGTACATTACCATACAGTTATTAAAATGAAATCCCGAGAAACAGATCAGAAAAGGATTTTACCCCAGAATGATCAATTTAAGAAATCATGTGTCTGATCCAATCAGATCAGAATTCTATTGGAAGTGCGATTGGCCCAAATGCGGTCAGATGCAATCACACACAAACCATGCACCCAGAGTGACCAGCTATTTTAAGCCTACGTCGTCACTTCTATGCCACAGGATTGAGAAAAATCTCGAGTGCCAGCATTGAATAAGTTGATTGGTTGATTAAGTAAACGTGCAAGTAGCTAAATCAAGTGAGAATAAGCAATGATATGAGCAAGGGAGTGAATGCAGCATTTGAGTTTAATTTCCTTCAAGGCAATCACTTAGCTTCTTAGCTGCCCAGGGTTAGGCTATTTGTTACTCGGCTGATAATGAGCAACTAATAACACCACAGCATTGTAAAATGTGCTCTCTGAATATTAAGGCACGTCAGCAAGTGTGCCAGTGATTCAGTCGGTGAGCACACGTATGAGTGAGTGGGTTAATAAGTCTGAGCAAGTGTGCATGTGTGTTCTGCTGACCAGCCCTGCAGCGCCTGGATGGGAGTTCACCCACTTGGAACCACCTCTCCTCCTTGAGGTCATAGCACTCCACACTTCGGATTGCCTTGGGGGCTTGGCCACCCACCACAATCATCATCTGAACAGATAGGGAGGGATGCAGAGGGAGACAAACACTTTGTTTAAAAAAAAAGCTGAATTTCATGTTGCTTTTTGTGCTGTTAATTGAAAAAAAAGCAATATGAACGAATTAACTTGACATCAAGGGAACTTGGGGAAAATCATTGCCAACCGTTCTATAATTGGCTTTTTTTGTGCATTGTCGGTCTGAAAGGTAAACAAGCTGTGCAATGCCTCCCGTCACATATCTGCCCAAACCTTATGGATTCTCTTGAAAAAATATCCATATATTAGGTTTTTGGTTGAAATCGCGTAAATATATAAATGCGTCATTAAAACCCGCCACGACCCGACACAGCCAACTAGTAAGGGTTGTCATGTAAACAGAACATCCCAATTCGTCACTAGTACAGCACACCGGTGTGTTGGAGAGCCAAGCCACAACATTTACAATCTGAGTACGACGTTTTGCCAGTAATTACAACTAGCTTCATCAGGCGATAGCCAGATTCGTGGGGAGAAGTCTTACTGTTTCGTTCCTTATATAGAGGCGTAGATGTGGTGACCACGCTTCTGCGCTCTTTCACAATGTGGGGGGGGGGGGATTACTGAGGCAACGTACATGATGCATGTGCATTATGCGAGCCCTTTGAACTTGTCCTTCCTGTCTATTGTTTATTAAAATTTCCCTACCAACGATAATCCTATTGAAGTACGCTGCCCTTTGTAGGCATGCATTAAAATAATGTATTATTTGATGATTCACTTCCACGCAGCACTAAGGCGGTCGCTATCCGAACGGTGAAAGTTATTTTGATTTCTTTCAATTTCGATAGATTCTCTAATTAGTTTTGGCCAGTAGTAGCTAGTTTTTCACAAAACTTCAACATTATCAAAATCAATTGAGTGTCCTTGTTGGCACGCGTGTTCTGCTACTGCTGACAGTTGTATTTGGGAGAATTTTATATTTTTCTGATGTTCTTTTAATCTCGTGCTGATCATTCGTCCTATTTGCCCAACATAACATTTACCATACGTGCAGTTAATCTTGTACACACATTCCGTTGATAGCTTCGGTAATACATCTTTTGTACCAGATATTAATTTCTGTACTTCATGTACAGTGCCAAATCTGACTCGGATGTTTTGTTTTTCCAAACATCTGGCTAGTTTATCAGTGACTCCCACAATGTACGGTATTTTTTATCGTTTTAATTACATTACTTGGGCAGTTTCAATGCTCTTGTTATTTGATTTGGTTTTGGTATTCAATGCCCTGTTGATTTGTGCATCACTGTAACCGTTCATTTGCAGCACTTTTTTAACATGTTGAATTTTACTTCTCAAAACTGTCACCATCTGACACTTTCTTAGCTCAATGAATGAGCGTCTTGATAAGAGCAGATTTCTGTGCGGGGTGATGGTGTGACTCTGCATTCAGATAGGTGTCAGTATGCGTTTTCTTTGGGTAAACACTGTGTGTTATTTTACCATTTCTACCCCGTCCAAGCAGAATATCCAGAAATGTTAGAGTTTTTTCAGCTTCCACTTCCATGGTGAACTGGATGGATGGGTTTTGCGAGTTGAGATGATTTATAAATGCGTTCAGTGTATCTTTGCCGTGTAGCCAGACCACCAATGTGTCATCCACATATCTAAATCAAGCAGATGGTTTTAGTGTGCTTGAAGCTATTGCTTTTGTTTCAAAATCTATGTAAAATTCGCTATCACAGGAGACAAAGGAGATCCCATTGCTGCTCCTTCCTTTTGTTTATAGAAGTCACCTTGCCACAGTCTTCAGTTAGTCTTGGGATATCTTTGGCTAAACCTCTGTTTGTTACCAGTGTCGAGTAACTTAATTGACTCGTTGACCGGAACTCACGTAAACAGAGAGGTCATATCAAAACTTATGAGAATATCATTAGAGTTAAGCTTAATATTTTTCATTATATTTACAAGATGTTCAGAGTTTTTGATGAACGAAGAGGTCCTACTGATGTAGGGCTGTATTTGTTTAGTTATGTATTGTGCTAATTTGTACGTGGCAGAGCCTATTGTACTAACTATGGGTCTTAATGGGACATCAGGTTTGTGAATTTGTATTTGTCCATAAAGTCTTGGTGGTTTTGATGTCCTTGGTTTGATCAGGTATTGCTCTTTCTTGGGAATTTATGACTTGGCAATGATTGCTGTTGCTTTACGTTCCATGGTGCTGGTTTGGGTCTCATGGACGTGGTCTACGCCCTCAAGCGCCAGGGCCGCACTCACTACGGCGACGGAGGCTGAGTGCCCATCTCTCGCGCACTAAACCAACCCAAAGGCTTTTTTCAGAGCCACCCGCCTCTTCTGAACTGTTTGCGCGCCAGTGTTACCAAACCGTTCACGAAAGAAACACTTTCTAAATGGAGCAAACAGGTCCTGGGTTGTTGCGCGCCAATTCCTCGCGAGCGTGGACCGGGCTCTCCTCGTGGACGCGCGGTGGCTCGAGGTGCCGTCTGCTGCTGTCGCTCTGCTCGGTTAAGATGTTTTCTTGTTCGTGTTTTTTGTTTGTTGCGGTTGCACCCGATTCAAGAGCCGAATGGCTCACAGGGCTATACCAAATAAATGAAACTGAATTTAATTTTAAGGTAGGTACCTTCATCGAGTAACTCTTTGATTTTATTATCATAGTCCTCACGGGGCATCACAACAGTCGATAGACCCTTATCAGCAGCAACAATTTGGATATCTTTATTTGCTCTCAATTCTCTTAAGGCTTTTGCTTCGCTGAAGTTAATATTTGTTTTTGAAAAATTATGTGAACACACTTCCATCATGATATTGTTCTTTAGTCTCGAGATTACTTGGTCAAAAGCATATTAATATCCAACCATATAACCAACATGCCAGTAATGTATAATAACAATGCTGCACACAGCACCAAAAAAAAGAGATTCCTCAACAAGCGATTCTCTGCATGTATGTGAGCATAAATAATCGATATCAGTTGATGATTCTTAAAATGCTGCCCCCATCTGTTCATCCAGTGGTATAAATTAATACACCACAGTCAATTGGTTAGATGTCTGGTCAGCATGGAAGAAAAGGCCAAATACCGTCTGAAGGGGCTCTCCCTAGAGCTCTCCCTATTGGAGGCCCTTCCGCCAGCAGTGATGTGAGAAAGCAATTGTTTGGCTGCACCTTGATCATTATTTCTTAGTCGGTGAATGGATGCACACCGTTATACCCCAGAGCTCACCTTGGGGAGGCCCACAGGTGTGCGAGGTCGCGTGCGGTCCGACTTCATTAGCGCTCGCTGCTCGCTCGACAGCAGGTGGTACTTCATGGCCTCAATGAGGAAGTCCTTACAGGTGCTGTTGTTCTTCACCAGACTCTCTTCCTCCACACGCTGCAGGGCGGCAGCACAACCCACAGCACAACCCAATGAAACAGCTGCAGGAGGACAGTGTAAACAAACGCATTGCCACAACACTGATACCCCCACCAACACAGCAATACTTTACCTTATTTTCTTGCATGTTATTTCAGGTGTTCCTTGCATGACACCCAACAGACTCTCGCCTGGTTATAAAGATGCTGACGGACTCTTTAACCCTGGGGAAGCCCACTGAGATTCAATGTTTGGCAAGACTGAGGTGTAAATTAGTATGGAAGGTGATTTGTTTTTTATGTATCGTTTAAGTATGATTATGGATTTGTTGTCCACTTATAGTATCAGTTATGCACGTACTTTGTTTGTATAACTAAAATATATTGAAGACTGAATCCTCAATCAATTATAATGCAATGTATCATTAAGTAGACTGTAAATTGACAAATAGCTTAAATATTATCATGCTTGTGCCTTCACAAAATGTTGAAATGTTTAATGTACACGTGGAATGCGGAAGTGTGCTGGATCGGCTTACTTTGTGATAGAACGTTACATCATTAATACAAAATAACCCTTTGTAGCTACATGAAAGCTATTCTGTAGAATCAGTGCCTCACCTCACGCCAGTCCTATTAATCAGTGTCAGAAAATTCCGAGACTACATTCCCAAGAAACAATATAAAACCTCCCCTAGCTGCTTTTGCGACCCAACTTAAATAAACATAGATCAGAAAGCAGGAAAGCTTAGCAAAGCCTTCGCCAACAAGAAGACAACGTGCTTATACATTTGTAGAGGAGTAGTGGAGGACGTCATATCACTCAGGGGGGGTGGAAAGGGATGATGCCAGAAGTTACGGGGGATATATAAGGGGGAACCCGTGACGTAGAGGGGGTCGTCGCGAAGGGCCAGGAACGGAGAGAGTTGGGGGAGTCGGGATCCAGGGTAGGGGGGATTAGTGCCAGGCGAGTGTGATACTTCATCCGGCCGACCGAGTTGGATGATCCCTCGGTCAGTGCTGGGGGGGGGGGAGATCGCGTAAGCCTGGGTGGAGCTAGGGACCTCCCAGTACCCTTTCCCCTGGGGAGATAGCGTTGTTACCTGTTGGGCGTAAGCCTTTAATAAGTTACCGGCAGTAGCCTTTAATAAACCTTGGCATCAGCCCCTACTAAAGAACCGTGTCCGTGTCGTCAGTTGCACCTCAACACATTGAGCAAAAGCAGATATATATATAAATCTTGACTTAACGCTTATATATATTCTCAGCAGCTCTCCCGCGATATTTCTCACCCGATGACGATTGCTTGTTTTACGATCGAAACGTCGTGATTATTATTTTTATTATTATTATTTGATCCATCTACGTGGCTTTACCAAAAGACCCAAATAATTCAGATATATTTAGTACGGTAAACAATGTGTGCCGATGACCACACCATACCGAATGAGCCCAATCCCATCGGACTTTTAAAGCAAAGCAGTAGTGCTTGGATAGGTGACGACTAGCAAATAGGTGTAGTGGGTAATGTTGGCAGCAGAGGGCAGTGCAGCACAATCTTTTTTGTTTTATGTACTCCACCCACCTTCATCAACCAGCACTGACCAGCGTGGTAAAGTATGGTCAAGTGGCTTTCACTGCCTGCACAGCAGTGGGGGAGGCCCTCACCCAGAAGTGGGTTGAGAAAGGGGATTTATTGCACATGGACTGTGGGCTATGGCATCATACTTGCTGCTAGATTTGATTCTTTATACATGTTATGAAATAAGTCAAATAATATAACCAAACACAACAAATGGAATATGGTTAGTTGCACGCAGTGTGCACCTGCCAGACCAGAGCAACAGATCTCACACACTACCCAACCTGAATTGAACATACATATATAAAACTGTTATGTTTATAAATTGTCGATTCAATAGCCACAACCAGTAAAAAAAATCGACATGTTGAAATTCAGCAAATATTTTTTATACTTCAACATGTTTAATACCTATCAAGCATCAAAGTGCAACAAATATCACGCAATATTGTGTCATTGTAATGCTCCCCCTGCCGGACAAGACGCCATTAATTGGCAATGCAATGTGTTATATTATTTGTTTCTTTCGGTAAAGTCACGTATATAGAAAAATACAATAAAATAAACTAAAAATCACTGGTTCTTAATCGGAGTGAGTGTACTGTCAGTCTATAATGTAGACTGTCGCCTGGTTTTTAAGCTGGTGAGGGTATTGGCAGTCTATGATGCAGACTGTAGCAATGGTTATTAAACTGAGTGAGCGTACTGGGAGTCTATGTAAACTTATTCTTGGTGAGCATTTCTGTGAAGTCCTGGGGGAGGGGAAATCCCTCGGCATGGAAAACATCGTGGGACAAAGTGGGGATGACCCTGCTGAGGCTGCGGCGACTCAAATTTTGGAAGTCATCCCCTGTGAGTGGCTGGCTGAGGTGCCATCTGTTGAGGAAGTATAAAGGCGATCTAGAGTCTGAGACCAGGAAAGGCACCGGGCAGAGATGATCTCCCAAGCGAACTGCTGAGGGAGGGTGACGTTTGTGCACAGACTGCCCTACACGACATCATAACAGTCTGGACCACTGGACGGGTTCTACAGGATTGGAAGGATGCCTCGGTGCTCCCCCTCTTTAAGAAGGGGGACAGCACAGACTGAAAAAACTACAGGGGCATCTCACTCCTCAGTGTGCCGGGAAAGGTCTTGGCAAGGATTATTCAACATCGCCTTGCCAGGCACGCTGAGGAGAGGCTTGCGGAGCCCCGGTGCGGTTTCAGGAAAGGGCGGTCCTGCACAGATGCCATATTTTCTGGCCGTCTGCTACAGCAGAGATGTAGGGAATTCCAACAAAACCTACATCTCTGCTTTATTAACCTGGTCAAGGCCTATGATACCATCAGTACGCCTGGGCTCTGGGTTATTCTTCGTGCTTTCAGATTCTCTGACCCTCTGCTCATGATCATTAAGGACTTTCATGATGGTGAGCGGGCCCAGGTAAAACTACGTGGCCGGGAGTCGGAGCCATTCCCTGTTCACCTTGGGGTGCGACAGGGATGTCCTCTGTCTCCCACATTATTTAACATCTTTTTCGACCACGTAATTCGTGAAGCCTTCGATGGCTGTATCGGAGAAATTTCCATCTGGTACAGATACAATGGGAGGCTGATCGATGCCCGGGTGCGGTCAAGGGATGGTTCCCTATTGGTCAACCACGTTATGTATGCCGATGATCTGTTAATTGCCACTCACTCAGAGGAGTAATTGGAGGTGCTGCTGCTGAACCTGGAGCGTGCCACTAAGAGGTGGGGACTTACCATCAGCCCCACCAAAACTAAGCACTTGCCTGAGTATTTTGTACCATCGGACACTCCACCCCCACAACTCCCAATTGGTGATGGGGTAGTTGTGGAGAGAGTGCAGAGTTTCCCAAACCTGGGCAGTGTGCTCATGACCAGCCTCCGGTTTGACATTAGGTCTCACTACGAAATCAGTCGAGTGGCATTATCTTTTCATCGGTTGCGTAACACTGTGTGGAAGCTACCTGGTCTGTCGCTCCGCACGAAGCTTCAGGTCTTCTCGGCCACGGTCATTCCCTCCCTTCTCTATGCTTGCGAAACGTGGACTCCCCCTAATGGCACATCTTTGCCGGTTAGAAACATTTAGGCTGGCCTGCCTACAATCCATCCTGGGTTTAACCAGGCTGGATTGTGTGAGGAGCTCACAAATCCTTGAAAGATCTGGACAATGTCCCATCGGTGAGCTCCTCTGGCAGGCAAGGCTGCGTTGGCTGTGTCAGATAGCCCGCATGCCCAGTCACTGCATGCCTAAACAGATTTTGTTCGGCCGGATAGAGCAGGCTAAACGGGCGCGGTACGGGCTAGAGAAGAAATGGAGTGATGTGGTGCAGGAGGATGTGGAGCTGAGTAGACTTGCCGATTACTGGTACCAGCAGTGTCAGGATCGGCCTCTGTGGAGGAGGCTCATGAAGGACGCTACTGGGCAGTGGAGGCAGTCGCCCTCCAACAAGAACGGAGGGCGGAGGAGCGACGCTCGCAACAACGAGCGGAGCACCGGGTAGCTAAAACACAGCAAGTTGGCACAGTAGGGGGCACAGGTGGTGCATCAGCCAGTCACCTCAGTCAACCCGTGGCACCTGGGTCTGCCCCGTGATCTCTGTCAGCGGGCGTTCGACACTTCACGTGGCCTCAACGTGCACAGAGCCTGGCACAAGCGTCGTGGTGACGTCACCGCCACTTAGTGGCGAATGGCGGTTGTTGTTGTTGTGCCCATAGCATTTTATTGTATTGATAACTGTCACAATTGGTTGACACTCAGAACAATGGAGAGAGTGCCTCCTACTGATCAGCCTGTAATAGTACAGTCAGCATATCTATGCTCAATGGGATCCCGACCGCGAAGTACTGCTTGGACCTAAGCCGGGTCCAGTGCTTGAAAAGTATGGAACCACGTCTTATGTAGACTAATAGCAGACCAGAACAATTGCTAAAATGTATTTGAAATATTTTAATAGCTGCAAACAAACGGTTAATTGTTGCTGAAATGAGCAGTATTGTCTTTGAACTTCCAATGAACAATCAACCTAAATGTTTTGATTATGTATTAGCCCCACGTAACTTTAATGCACAAAACCAGCCCATGAACTGACAGAATAAAAATACGTATGAGAGAATATTTGGGGGATGTCTGTGTTTGAATACCTATAGCTGTTCTCTTTCCAGTTAAATCAGCAGAGTAATGCAGGTAGATTTGGATCCAGGCTGTTAGGTTTGGATATAAAGTGGGGTAAATGACATGCTGTTGCTGCAGAAATTAACTAGGCACCTTCACATAGCTACTAAATCCACAAAATAGCACTTTCTACTTTTCCAAGATATGTGATTGTTAAAATTCAATCACGTCATTTCACAACAGCATTTAACTTTAAGCCGGAATATGCCCAAATGTCACTCCCCTCTCGATAAAATCTCAGAAGAATTAAAAAAACTATTAATAGATCATGGTATGTTAGGAAAAAAAAATCAACACCATAAATGTATTAATGGCCTGTGGCCAAATCTCTCAAAATGTGTCTGATCATGCCAAATCTCAGACACTCAGCTGGTTTGAGCCTGGACAGTGCATGGATGGGTGACCACCATGCATAAACAGGTTGTTATAGGCTGTGGAGTATCAGGGGGCAGTGCAGTAAAATATGTTGTTGCTGCAATGTCTATGCTCCTTGCCTTTAGCAATACACACTGACCAGCGTGAAGTGTAGAGAAATACCGATCAAATGCCCCGGGTGGCACAGGAAGGCACTAATCCTCCAGTGGATTGACAAAGGGCTGTGCATGTATAATGTTAAGGGAAACTGCTATAGCAAAAAGGAAACACTGAGCTCATGTTACAGTGGTATTCAAATTAAATCCCTTGAAGGTGAATAAAGTTGCATTAATTGTGTTACTCTACATAGCTGCTGCACATAGCCAGTTGTAAAACATAGAAACACTGCAGCAGAAAAGCTGGAACGTGTGGTAGTATAGTGAGAGGGGGAGCTCCTACCTCAAACTCATTTGACCAGTTCAGAAATTAGGGGCTAAACATTCCAAAAATATAGTAAGCCCTTTGTGTGAAAATTGTGGGTACACACATCTAGATATTTACATAAAATACGTTCATTGCTGGTGGGCATACTGTTTATGGTATCATATAACCATGAAGTGTGCTCCATTGATGTTCAGATACGTGCTACAAAGAGTGAGCAAGCAAAAAGAAGAGTGAAATTTGAATCCAGAGGATGTTAAAGCCTTCTTGGGTTAGTTGCACTTAAACTTGCATATTATGTGTTCGCATCACATATGACTACCGCAACATGGTGAGATATTTGATGTTTGGATTTTAAATTGGCACATAGGGAAGTCAATCAATGGGGGACTTCAGAATTACCCCCATTGCTCTGTAGGTATGTTGAACTTCTTTCGCACCGTATATAGCCAACTATGCTATGGCAGTTAAGAGTGCAACTGGTCAACTGCAAGAATGTAAAATGAATTTTCTATTGTAATTTAAAAGCAAGACTTGCTGGGTAATGTAGTCAAATATGTCTGGATGGTAATCTACCAGTTCTGTAAATACTGAGCTTGGGGACATTGCTCCTCTGCTGCCATGACAAGTGCAGTGCTAGTCAACTTGCACCAAACCATTTCCTACAAAAAGTCAAATTGAAATTTGGGCCAGCAGACTGTGTTCATTAAGAAAAGCTGTTTGCAACCATTTCCTCATGAATTCCTTTGGCAGCATCAATAAATTGAAATTGGTTTTAAATTGTTACTGAATCACATGCAGTGGTTCTCATTTTAAGGCTTTCGAAACTAAATCCCCTCGGGTTTTCCAAATCTAACAATAAACAGGACTAGAGCAATCAATGTGCACCGATTTATTTCATATAGGAGAAATGAGACGTTAAAATATGGACTGGATTTGATTTACCATTCCTGGATTTGAAATCCACTAGTTTCATTAATATTTTTGTTAAATATTTTCTCCACATATCTCTTGCAAAGACGATATATCTTCATTATATGTTACCTGGTATAAATGAAGGAAGCTTACATATCGACCGATTTTCTTTCCTATCTCATCACTTATATTTTCAGTTGCTTGAAAACTTTTGCCCAATTGAGTTAAGAGAGTGTATCAGGTAAGGTGTCTCAATTTTAATTCTATGCACCCACTAAGGTAAAGGTTAACATTTGAACCAATCATCAGATAGGTGAAATGTGTAATGACCTAATATGGAAGGGAATCATACGGACTTATTCATTTGGAAAGGTGAACCAAGAGGCGATGCCAGAAATAGAGTTCAGAAGCCCCTGCTCTGCAAATATTGACGAGCTTCCTGGAAAAGAAAAAGTAAACCCATGAAACGTTGTGTTAGAAGTACGGTAAGTCCTCGCTTAATGCGTGTTCACACAGCACACAGTCACCATAAAGTGGTTCTTCCACCAGGGAACACGTTTCGCACAACATAGAACACGCACCGTTATAATGCACAACGTGCACCGTTATAACTACTGTTTCTCAGCGGTTGACAAGGAACTAGTTTCTTGAGTTGCACATCTGAGCGTTAGGATACAGTATGCAGGATGATACAGTGAGGTGGCGGCGGTGTACCCTCAGATATTTGTCCTGCCATCTTACGGTGCGTGTGCGCGTACATCGCATCTCGCCAAACTTTAGCGTTACATTATTTATGGGGAAATTGTTTTCGCATGACGCGGCACTGTTTAGGAACCCATCTTCGGCGTTAAACGAGGACGTACTGTAGAGGAAATTGAAAATAAAAAAGCGGAGGTAAGCAAAAATTTGAAACAACCAGTGGGCAGGATTAATCAAACTTGTTAAGAATTGTGTATGAAGATAATATGACCTGGCCAAATTATTGTAAAATAATTTTTCACAAAGTACTTATTTCTATTCCAGGATATATACCTTTATGTAATCATGGGAGGTTTGTGATATTGTTTGTCACTATCTACAAAATAGATTCCTGGAATTGAGTTTTCTACCATTAGATAGGAAGCTGAATAATGTATTACACTCCAAGATTAGTGTTTTTTTTTACCATGGCCAATACCTATGTAAGTCAGCATTCAGTTTAAAAATGCATAGGAGCCAATGACCGATTTACAAATTAGAAGACACTTTTAGCAACACCCAAGACTGTCAGGGCATTGCCAGTCAATTGAAGATTGTGCCAGAATTGAACTTTTGGATTGGTCTTTGTACTCTATATCTTTATAACCTTGCTTTCATACCAAGCTGACAATCGTATATTAAAATAGTTTTTCACAAAAGCCAAGATAATGAGTGCTGGAGATATGCTCACCCACCGGGCTGACACAGATACATGCAAATTAAGTTGGGAAAATTTCTCAAACACTCACATCTGTACGTACCGAGTTGTAAGGATGCCGACTATCCTATTAAGTGTGATAAAGGTACGGCGCTACCGCGAAAGAACATAAACCCATTTTTTACGGCTCAAACGTAACAAGGCACAGGAATAATGGGGCTTACCTCCACCAGGTACTCGCGAGAGAGCAGAGGCAAACGCACATTCTCCAGGAGGCTAGCCATCAGCTCCTGTCGCTTCTCGCGGTTGTGGTTCACCCATGCCAGCACCGCTTCAAACACCTGCAAACCAATGCCAGGCACCAGCATCATCATAAGCTCCTAACGCAACAACCACTGATATCCCCTCCAACAGATCTCACCTGCACAATCTATATCAGAATCACCAATATAATAATTTCATTTATATCTCCAGAAAAAGGGCTTTTTATCAGGAGGGTTCTCGACTGGAATGATTGGTTAATTAATTTCAAAGGAGTACTTTAGAGGTGGGTGGGAGGAAATCGAAATATCCATAGAAATACCATGCATTTGAGGAAACAACACTCAAAGGTCAAAAGCAGAATGACAAACCCATCTGCTGTACTGCTATCTCCTGGCCAACTTGCAGCCAGCATACAGGGTAGTGTCAAAATTATATGTGATCCACCAACCCTTGCCTCTGAGCACTGGATTAATGATGGGAGACTCCAAAACATTCCAGCAATATAAACAATACCCACTCCTACCAAAAAACGCAAATATTACATGTAAATGTTTTATAACAGCAACAGTCGTACCTTTTCCTCTGAAGGGACCATCAGTCTGTCGCTGGCGATGAGGTCACAGACCTGCTCCACCGATAGTGAGAGGAACTCCTCTGCCTGCACCACGTCAGAGAAGTGCTGTTCTGTGGACACGCAAAGCGGGGTGAATGTTAGCAGCTCACATACCCAGAACACACATTGTCAGTGGCTCAATATACTGGTAGTGTGTGTTAACGTGTGCTGGTGTTTACATGGGTTGTGACATGGCCCAGCAGTTGTGCGTTCATCTCTTGTTCAAGAGGTTAGCGGTTTGAATCCGGCAAGATGCTCAGGTTAGAACTGCAGGTTTATTTACTCTAACAGATTCAGTCTGCTTCATAGTAGACGCTAAAGATCCTGCGATGAAAGAGTGGGCCATTGTGTACCGGCACCAAGGCCCAATTTGACTATTTACCTTCCGAATACTGAATTGGGATTACACATGGCAACACCGCTCCTTACTGCTAAACACAATGCCTCGTATATGTAAGTATGTATGTAGAACTTCTTTTGCACCGTACATAGCCAACAGTGCTAATCGGATGTGCGGGGAAGGACAACAAACTAAACAATCTAGATTTAAAAGTGCATAGCTCCAGTGGCTTCCAAATAACAGAAGGAAGATAGCCTTGCACTATAATAGCCTTGCAATACAATGGGATGAATGTCAAATGTGCTCATGATTAATTTGATCCCCAGAATGGCCATGAGCATACTCTGCCCCAAGTGTGCACTAATGAACATACGTGCCTGCGAGATCAAGAACCTCAATACATTGAGCTTCATTTGTGTTTTTAAATGATACACCCTGCTGATTTTGGATATTCCAACCGATGCATGTCTTTGTGGAAAAGTACAAAAAATGTAATAGTACGGTTTAGAGATGAGGTTAAGCTTTTGACAAAGTACAAGACTCAAGACTGGCTGTTTGTTATAATATAATTCCTCACACATAAAGAATGCTTTAGTTTTGCTGATCAGATTTGCATTAGCTCTAACAGTGAAGACCCCTGCCACGTTCAAAGCACACCACCTGGTCTACTGCAGCTGCACGTTCATCACACATCAAGGCTTTTTTGGTTTCTGTACAGCTGGGAAACATGTTTCTGTACGAGTGTATAGCCTAGTGTTCTTAGGTCTTAATGTGCACAGCACGCAGCAGGTGGGATGCCAATGCAGACACACCCAGTAGGTCCACTGGCAGTTGACACATATAGCAGGCATGTCACTTTTAGGCATGGCTATTTTAAACTTACGAAGCCATCAACTTATTAAGTCTTTTAAAAATCCACCTTTTCAAAGAGTAAACTTATGATGAATACTTGTTCCTCCCTCCACCAAAACCCATGACTACACTTTTAGAAGAGGGCAGTGTACAGTTTTGGTTGCCTGTGGCTGATATTGAATCTCTCCATGTGATGGCACTGTGATTGAACCAACATACACCAGTGTTCATAATAGAGGTTTTTTGGGTTAAATCGCGTAAATATGTCATTAAACCCACCACCACCCGACACAGCCAACTAATAAGGGTTGTCACGTAAACAGAACATGCCAATTCGTCACTAGTACAGCACACCCGTGTTTTGGAGAGCCAAGCGACAACATTTACAACGTTTCGCCAGTAATTAAAACTAGATCTTGACTTAAAGCTTTAATGACTGCAGGAATTCATATTCTTTGGGTCTTTCGGCAAAGCCACGTAGATAGAAAAATTATTTTAAAAATACAAATATCACGACGTTTCGATCGAAACACAAGCAATCGTCATCAGGTGAAAAAATATAGCGGGAGAGCTAAGAGCTGCTGAAGCAGGATGTTATATAGGTTTGAGATGGGTGTAGCCCAAGGGTAAGTAGGCGTGGCTTGAGATGGGTGTAGCCCAAGGGTAAGTAGGCAGGGCTAGAGATGGGTGTAGCCCAAGGGTAAGTGGGCAGGGCTAGAGATGGGTGTAGCGGCCAGGGGTCTCAAACTCGCGGCCCGCGGGCCAATTGCGGCCCGCGGAACGATATTTTGTGGCCCCCTACTTGACATCATTTATTTTTAATTTTATAGATATTTTTTTTTACCATAGCTCAGGCTAGTGACAGCTTCCGGTGTTTGTTGACGGTAAATGTTTTGGCGACATGAAGTTTATGTAAAAAAACATAAATTAGCCGCAGTGTTCAGAGCGTGTAAAAAAAGTAGCGGCTTATAGTCTGGAAATTACGGTAGTTTTTTTATTAACTTTTTTCTATCGTTATTAAATGTGTTTTTTCTTTTGTCAACCAGCCCCAGTCATGTCTTTCTCAAAACCTGCCTTGAAGAGAAAGGTTGGCGACGAGCACAGACAATTTCAGGAAAAGTGGGAGACGGAATATTTTTTTGTTGAGCACAGGGGCACTCCGACGTGTTTTATATGCACAGAGAAAGTTGCGGTGCACAAGGAATACAACATCAGACGTCATTACTTAACTAGACATACTGAGGAGTATGCAAAACACCAGGGAGATGAGAGAGAGGACCGGGTCGCCAATCTTAAAACATGTCTACTGAGGCAACAAGATTTTTTCAAGAAAGCAAGCAAAGAGAGTGATGCAGCAGTCGAAGCTAGCTACGTGGTGAGTGAGATGATTGCTAAGGCGGGAAAGCCATTGAAAGACGGCGAGTTCATCAAAAAGTGCATGTTACAGGCTGCAAGTATAGTCTGTCTGGAAAAGAAGGGTCAGTTTAGCAACATTAGCCTTTCAGCCAACACAGTGGCAGAGCGCATTTCTGACCTGTCAGGTAACATATACGATTAACTGCGTGAGAAAGCCAAACATTTCCGTGCATACTCAGTCACTCTTGATGAGAGCACAGACATCACTGACACTGCGCAGCTCGCAATGTATGTCCGTGGTGTTGACGACAATGTTGAAGTGACGGAAGAGTTGCTCACAGTGAAGCCAATGCATGGCCAGACCACCGCTCAGGAGATATTCCGCCAGCTGTGTGATGCCATTGTGGATGCCGGTTTACCATGGAAGAGGTTTGCTGGAATAACAACCGACGGAGCGCCATCAATGACAGGGAGGAGAAATGGACTGGTGGCACTTGTTCAAAGAAAACTGGAAGAGGAGGGTGTGGAGGAGGCCATTGCTCTGCACTGCATTATCCATCAGCAGGCCCTTTGCAGCAAATGCCTAAAGTTTGACAATGTGATGTCTGTCGTTGTGAAATGCATCAACCATATAAGATCCAGGGGCTTAAAGCACCGGCAGTTCCGTGCCTTTTTAGAGGAAATAGAGTCAGCATATGAGGATGTGCTCTACTTCACCGAGGTACGTTGGCTCAGCAGGGGAAACGTCTTGAAGAGGTTTTTTGAGTTAAGAGCAGAAGTGAAAGCCTTCATGGAGAAGTATGGGATGGCTGTTCCTGTGCTAAGTGATCCCAAATGGCTCATGGACTTAGCTTTTCTTGTTGACATCACACAGGAGCTGAATGTACTGAACAAGAAGTTACAAGGCCAGTGGCAGCTTGTCAGTGCTGCCTATGACAAAGTCAGAGCATTCTCCACAAAACTTGTGTTATGGAAAGCCCAGCTCTCTCAAGACAAACCTCTGCCATTTCACAGCATGCAAGGCACTCACGGACGCGGGCACACCATTCAGTGGTGAGAAGTATGCTGATGCCATTGTAAAGCTACAGGAGGAATTTGATCACAGGTTTGCAGGCTTTAAGACACACAGCCACTTTTCAAATTTTTGCTGACCCCTTCTCCTTCGATGTGCAAGATGCCCCTCCTGTGATTCAAATGGAGCTAATTGACCTGCAGTGCAATTCTGAACTCAAAGCCAAGTTCAGGGAGGTGAGTGCAACAGCAGACAAGCTTGGACAATTTTTGAGAGAATTGCCCCCCACCTTCCCTGAGCTTTCCAGGATGTTCAAGCGGACCATGTGCCTTTTTGGGAGCACATATCTGTGTGAAAAGCTCTTCTGCACCATGAACTTTAATAAGTCAAAGTACAGGTCCAAACTTACTGATGAGCATCTTCAAGCCATACTGAGGGTCTCAATTGCTTCCTCCCTCAAGCCAAATGTGGCTCAGCTGTGTAAGAAGAGGAAGCGCTGCCAGGTCCCTGGCAGCAAGGAGTAGGTAAGAGAAGCCTATGTTCTGAAGAACCGTTCATGTTCTGAACTGTTATTAATAAAGATTGAGAAGATTGGATCAAATTTTGATTTAAAGCTTTCGTGACTGCAGTAATTCATATTCTTAGTTTTTTCGGTAAAGTCACGTTGAAGAGAAACAACAAAATAATAAAATATATATATAAAAAATGTGTTGTTTCATATATTTTATTATTTTGTTGTTTCTCTTCAACGTGACTTTACCGAAAAAACTAAGAATATATAAGATTGGATCAGTTGTACTTTTTTTGGAATACTTGATGCGGCCCAGCCTCACCCAGACTCTACCTCCAGCGGCCCCCAGGTAAGTTGAGTTTGAGACCCCTGGTGTAGCCCAAGGGTAGGTAGGCGTGGCTTGAGATGGGTGTAGCCCAAGGGTAAGTGGGCGGGGCTAGAGATGGGTGTAGCCCAAGGGTAAGTGGGCGGGGCTAGAGATGGAATTTGCGTGTAAATGTAATATCGGAGAGCTGATATACCTCCACGACTACGAAGTAATAGAGGTGGCGGCCATTGTATTGTGAGAGATTAGCATGTCAATGTTAGAAAACCACCACAACGGTGACTGTGTTAATTAGACATTTAGCCTGTTACTGTAAGATTAGCATGTCAATGTAAGAAAACCGGGCGCAACCACCACATCGAGGAAAACAAAGCTGTGGAGGTGGCCATTGTATTGTCAATGTAAGAGAACCACCGCAAATACAGTTGTATTTGAGAGTATTTAATATTTCTTTGGTGTTCTTTTAGTCTCGTGCTGATCATTCATCCTGTTTGCCCAACATAGCATTTGTCACAAGTGCAATTAATCCAGTACACACCTTCTGTTGATAGCGTCGGTAATACATCTTTTGTACCAGATATTCATGTCTGTATTTTATGTACCATGCCAAATTTGAATCGGATGTTTTGTTTTTCCAAACATCTGGCTAGTTTATCAGTTACTCCCGCAATGTACGGTATTTTTATAGTTTTAATTTCTTGGGCAGTTTCGATGCTCGTGCTATTTGATTTGGTTTTGGCATTCAAAGCCCTGTTGATTTGTGCATCATTGTAATTGTTTAATGTTTAATTTCACTTCTCAGACTATCACCATCTGACACTTTGTTAGCCCAATGAATGAGTGTCTTGATAAGAGCAGATTTCTGTGCGGGGTGATAGTGTGACTGCATTCAGATAGGCATTAGTGTTCATTTTTTTTCAGTAAACGTGTGTTATTTTACCATTACGGCCCCGTCCGAGCAGAATACAGAATACACCAGTGTTACAGTTGATGCGTCTTACAAAGAATAATAACTGTAGACTTAATCGTGTCTTTACACGTTGTCTAAACAGGTTGTTTTATTGGGATGTGCAGTCACTACAAATAAACTAAGACTTCTCATCAAAGCACTGCACATGAGCACATGCTGTTTGGTGAATGTTTTAAGTAAAATTCCCACCTCAATTTTCACCACATTTTTTATCAACCCATTAATAGTAAGCCCGCACAGCATTGTTCAATAGAGAATGAATCATGTGCACTACAAGAATAAATGCTGAAATAACTGCACCCACCCATAACGTACAACTGCAGAATGCCCATAAAAAATAGACAATTCATGTAAGGTTCACTATGCCTGCTAATGGGACACAGCAAAAAAACATTCGGATGAATGTGCACATTTGTTATCAGTCAGCTTTCAAAAATACGAGATGATATGTTTTTGAAATGGCTTGGGACTGTTAATAGGGCTACGCAGACACTCAGGTGGTGCAAGGGTGTGAGAAATCAGCTCTTTCCTTCGGAAAGTAATTCCTTTATCCTTGGCAAAGAAGAGTGTAAAATCATGGCAGTCAAAGTGAGAGGCAGAGATATAGAAATAAAGACTTGTTTCTGGATCAGTCAACATGTTAACACGCTACTGTCATGCACAAAGCATAAATAATGAAACAGACCAATTAACAATGTTCATATTTGGAGGTAACAGCCACCAACGTCATTAGACCTTCACCTTCATAAAGAACAGAAGATGAACATAAGTGTTGCTTTCTTGAAATGTAGCCGAGACTGATGCCCTCCTTATTCAGCACAAAGAAATCTCGCATCACCAATCAATTCGGAAAAAAACAATATGGTAAGTGGCATCGCAAACTTTGGCAATGATGCCTATGTATAACTGTCATAGGATCTTGCTGTACTTTTGAAAATAGTCTGTATGTCATGACAAAGCATCTGAAATTCATTCATAATTTCCATAAACTCAAAAATGTCCTTCTGGCAATCCAGAAAAAAAATCCACAAGCTTCACTAAGATCTCACAGAACAGTGTGTTTGAAGCTAGCATGAGACACTTACCGACTGCTAATTTAACTTTATTCATCTGGGGTGTCTCCTCACCTATATGGCACATAATTTATACAACATTCCCAATAATTTTAGATTACAATATTCAACCCAGTTTATAATTTAAAAAATATAAAACATCTAAAATGATTGGCAGAGCTGATCTCTGATGGTAATGGCTAAAATTACACATTCTTCCATGGAATCAGCCTCTCTTTAACGAACCCACCTGCTGTTTTTCGACCATATAGTGCTCACCAGGTGGTGCCCGTTTCACTGGTCCTGGTGGGGACGATGAGCTGAGTCATCTGGACTGTGATTTGAATTCATAGCCATTTACAGGTGTTCTTTGATTTACGAAAGGGACACGTGGTTAAAAACAAACCACGCAGAACGACATTTGTGAATCGGAATGACTTTTCCCTTTATTTAAATACAAAAAAATGGTGATGTTTTTCGGACAGTCATTCGAACTCTAAAACATAAATAGATAACCTTTTTGGGGAACTCGCCAAAAGATCTGCATGTTGGAATGACTGGAAAGGTGATGTGGAGGCATTGCTGTTGCGCTGTAGGGATATCGTGACACTGTCGCGGATGGATGACGCAGCCTCATGGGTGGTTCTTGTTTGACCTCATGTTCAAGTGGAAATTCGTTTTTGCTAATTGAAAGGTGTCCATAATTTGTCAATTAGGTTTACGGGAAATTTCGTAAACCGAATGTTCATAAATCCAGGGATAGCTTTACATGGAAACCTGCTTCCCTTCCAAGCTCAGCCATCCAGACTGTTTTATTCACTGTATTTATCACACGCACACATGCGCCCATGTATACACACTCGATACAGGCGTGCACCTTTACACCATGCAATTAATGGAGAAAGTTAAAAGGCAACGGACCGGCATAGGTGTTGGCGTGCTGGAGGAGGTCGGAGCAGGCGTGTATGTCGGCAAATGTTCGGATGCCCAGGCAGTTGGACGGGTGCAGCTGTGACTGCAGGAATTCACAGCAAGCATCCCGGACCTCCGGCAGCTGGAGTAAGCTCGCTGCAGGCAGCAGAATCTGAAGCGGGCAAAGTGACAGCATTTGGTGAAAAATGATAAATCACCCTGATCGTCATCCAAATGCTGGGTGATGCCCTTACACAAGTTTGGTTTACAGATACACAACTCTTCAGCTTGGCACAAAAGGCATCTGGCCTGAACAAGCAATCAAAAGCAATAATTATATAAGTGCTTGCAAGGAGGTATACACATTCAGCCACAATGACATAACACGTAATTTTGCACATAAATGGGCAAAGGGAACATATTTTGTAATTGTTCATGCGGCACATAAACTGAGAGTAGGGAATTTTTGTTTTTATTAAGAAAAATGAATAGGAGCAAGAGTGATGGCTATGAGTCATCCCAGCTTAAATGTAAACTTAATTCATCTAATTTTCATCGTAGAAAAGCTATACTTCACACTACATGTGGAAGAATGATGTTTTACTGAGAATTCGTATTTTTCATTGACCAGTGCGCTTAGTTACAAGTAACTGAAAATTATACTTTTTGATCTTCGATCAGATGGATACCCATTATTTTGCATGTTAAAATACAGTTAGCGCAATATTTAGGACTTTAAACAAGTTAAAATCCTCAAATTTATCTTTGCAGAGAAAAGTTTTTCCTTCTAGATTTGAAGCTTTCGTGACTGTAAGGATTCAAACTCTTTGGTTTTATTCGGTAAAGTTACGTAGATAAAATAAAATAAAATAATTAAATCACGACGTTTCGGAGGCAACACAAGCTTCCGTCTTCAGATGGAAAAGTCAACGCAGAATATGTGTCAGGAGCACAGTTCAGAGACAACCGGGATTATATACAGGTTAAGGGAGGGGGGAGGAGTCAGTAAGGGGGCGTGGGTGGGTGGGAGGGCTGGGTTAAGCAGCCTTTTGATAGGCTGCTGTGGGTAACAACCACTTCGCACTGCACGGGAGTGGGTAAAAAAACACCTTTTGTTATGCTGAGTGTGGGGTCAGGGAGATTTTGGAAGCGGGTGCAAAACGGCTGATGCTGCGTGGGGGGTCGGGGGGATTTTGAAAGCGGGTGCAAACGGCTGAAGCTGCGTGGGGGGGGGTCGGGGGGGGATTTTGAAAGCGGGTGTAAACAGCTGTTCAATTATAAGGTAGCTAAAATTTGAAATACAACCACTGAGAAAAGGAAATGGCTGTACAAAAAATTGAGAGGCAGCTAACGTTTGACTTGATTTATAACATCTTTCCAGTGATTGCTCAATTTGAAACCATCCTCTCGGTTGAAGTTGTGTGTGTTTGTAAATCTGGATGGCCTCGTGGACAAATCTCTGCAAACCTACCGCTTCCAAAATCTCCCAGACCCCACACTCAGCATAACAAAAGGTGTTTTTTTTACCCACTCCCGTGCAGTGCGAAGTAGTTGTTACCCACAGCAGCCTATCAAAAGGCTGCTTAACCCAGACCTCCCACCCACCCACGCCCCCTTACTGACTCCTCCCCCCTCCCTTAACCTGTATATCATCCCGGTTGTCTCTGAACTGTGCTCCTGACACAGATATTCTGCGTTGACTTTTCCACCTGAAGACGGAAGCTTGTGTTGCCTCCGAAACGTCGTGATTTAATTATTTTCTTTTATTTTATATTTTTTTTCTACGTGACGTTACCAAATAAAACCAAAGAGTATAAAAAACGTTTTTCATGAAGGCCCCTCTGTCAAAAAATTGTTATAAATAAAATCCACCAACCAAAGCTTAGGTGATACCAAAATGCAAGCTCAGTGGCTACAGGTCAGGTCATCAGTCCTCACCTGCACATTGTCTTCGGTCACCTGGATCTCCGCTGTGTACACGTAGTCAACGAGCAGGGCAAGCGCTCGGCCATCCACTTCTTTGATCTCCACTTTCTGCGCCTTGCTCTCCGCCATCTCGCCTGTACATCAAACATCGCTCGTTACAGGTCCTCAGCAGCGCTAATAAGTGCTTCTACAACATGTTATGTTGTCCTTAGATGTGACAATGAAAGCGTGACCCAGATATCCTCTGTGACTGGAATGTCTGCTCATTAATAGGAGACGTTAAAATAGGTTACCTCATTAATAGACAGCAATTATAGCCCAAATAAAATGTTATTTCGACTTGTAACTATTTATGCTGATTATTCAGAGGTAAAATCCACAGGTGATATGTCCATGTGCCCGGCATTGGCAAAATCCAAATGGCCTGCCAGTTCTATTGAACATCTTCAGAGCTACATTTAAAATAATCCCAATCGCAGAGACATGGATAGTGCCTAAGACATATAGTACTTCAATGGCAAATGCCATACATTGCACTAAAACTATTTATTTAAAATAATGCCTACTTATTCGGTCCAGTACAGCATGATTTAGTTTATTCAAGCCTCTGCCAAAATTCTTCTAATTACTTCAAGTGAGTTTCATATTTTCCATTCTATATGCAGTTTGATGTGGGATTTTCATGCGTCTGTAGTATTTTTGTAGTATTTCATTTACTGTTGGCAACCATTACCCAAAACAATTTAATCTATGTACTTATATCACACCTGTGTGCTTGGAACAGATAAGTAAAATTATTTTCAAATGTGTTATACAAACTATATGGGTTGATTTGAAGCTTTTGTGACTGCAGGAATTCATACTCTTTGGTTCTTTCGATAAAGTCACGTAGATAGGAAAAAAAATAACCCAAGAGTAAAAACTATATGGGCTTTCACTCGGTAACAAAATACTCGTGAGATTACAACATTGCAATGGTCACAACGATGGCTAGCGATAAATTAGTCAAAGCACCGGACCAACCAACCAAACTGGCCTATGTGGAACGACTGTGTTAAATGTAGCAAATGTAATGTAATGAATGTGGTATATCAACTGACCATTGATGCTAAATTGTGAAGGTGAATTCCCAGCGTCCTCTTACTTGTGAACATGGCATGAAAGTAAGGGCTGCATGAGGCCAGTGCCAGCTTGTGAGCAGCCACTTCTGTCCCATCAGCTACGAGGACGACATCGCATAGCACACCTTGCCTGTGTGACAAGTAGCAAGCCCATAGACATAAAACATGGAAATATACAATTTACAGTCATGCAAGTGAGGTGCCAATACTAATGTATGGTATAACTTCTCTGATTCAATTTGTTGTAGGGTGCTCAGAGTGGAATCCTAATATTTTGGTTAATATGCACAAATTATTCCTTTCCATATAGTGCACAAAAACACAGATAATAGGCTGAATTTGTAACCACTTTTGCATCACTTGTCTTATCCTTGCAAAGCCGTGAAGAAAATGATTAACACACGAATTATAGGACTTTGTGCGGATTGATTTGGGGTCATGAATAAATGGCAGATCTAATAAATAGGTACAGAGATAAGGCGTTTTTCACTGATTGGCATAACTTAAACTGCATTCACATAAACAAAGTATGTGCTTTTGGCATGAACAAATATATCCAAAGAGCATATCTTGCCTCCTCAAGCTGTTCATGATCTTGAAGGCCTTCCTCATGTGCGAGTTGCTTTGGTACATGGGCCAGCACGAATTCAGGCCCGTGCTGTTCCGCTCGTGCTCCGTCATGTCATCCTCAGTCTCCCCCAGCGAGCCGCGATCCATGGACATGATGCCCGGCGCCCGGGTCAAGGGGACATCCACGTCCATGAGGCTCCACGAGGATTGCTCAACGCATGGGTCGCGGGACCACGCAGCTCAGAGCCAACTCTATTTTCCCCACATGGATTATCTTAAAGAGGTTGTGGATAAACACAGCTTAGTCTTGGTAATGCCAAGTGAAAAATATGAGGGGATGCCTAATTTTTTATCTTCTTAGTATAATACAGCCATTTAAGAACGCGGTCTTTATTTTATCCTTTGAATACAGTCAAGTAGAGTTTTTGTTCTGCTTTTATTCTGAAACAGCTGCGTGCAATGAAACAAATACTTTTCTTACACAAGTCCTCTAATGCCTACTATCTGCTGTACATGAGACGATCTCCAAGTGGCATTACGAGTCTTCACCTGCTCCCCCACTTTGAGTTCATGGTCATATCCTAAAAAATGGAACACGACAAACACAAGTCACACAATACTGCTCACCAACTCAGACCATCACTTTCTAGGTAGTATTTCCAAAATGTTATAATCATTTCTAAATCAACAGATCCTTATTTGTGCATTAAGCGCCCAACAACATGTAAGCACAATACATGATCTGGTTGAGACTGGAGAAATTGGTACATATAGGGAAGACAATTTTGATTCAATACAAGCAAACTTCACACTTGTTTCAACATTCAGGGTCTGATCAAAAGAGTCGGCTTACTTCAATCAATGCTGGTAATGTACTCAGTTTATAGGCATGGTCCCTTTCTATAAGAAAACAGTCCTAGTTCGACGCAAAATGATATAATACATAACACTAAAGAATCATTAAGCATCATTGAGGAGAATGTTAACATTAGTTCTTAGCTGCATGGCTGTTAACTAATTTTGACGTGAAACATACCACTACTGCACACTGCTCTTCACTTTTATCCTTACTGGACACACGTTTGCAGAACATAATGTGCTGTGGTAAAGCTCTGAAGCATCACTGAGTGGCTGTGAAATCAAACACAAAACGTCATGCGAAAATGGCTCTGTGGCACGTGTTTAACAACTATCCTCATCAGGCCTTTCGTTTAAAAAAAACCCACCAAACTAGATTATTACAAGATCATGGAAAGTTGCATGGTATACAAAAAGAGTACATTTTATTAACCATACTTGTCCTTCTTCTGGGTTCTTTCGGTAAAGTCACGTAGAATGGATAAAACAATAAAAAATAATAACATAATAAAATTCTCACGACGTTTCGGCCACAACACAAGTAGCCTTCCTCAGGTGAAGAAACAGGACTGTCTTCCGGACAGTCCTGTCTTCCGGACAGTCCTGTTTCTTCACCTGATGAAGGCTACTTGTGTTGTGGCCGAAACGTCGTGAGAATTTTATTCTGTTATTATTATTTTTATTGTTTTATCTCCATTCTACATGACTTTACCGAAAGAACCAAGAAGATGAATCCCTGCAGTCACGAAAGCTTTAAATCGAAATCATACTTGTCCTGTAAACCAGTGATTCCCAAGCCTTCTGAGCAAGTGGATCACTGCCAAACACCATACGGGGAAAAAAAACGTGTTTTGTGAAACAAAAATCATATCTGCAACGGTTCTGCAGACCACTTCTCATGGCATTGCGTCACCTTTGGGACTGCAGACCACAGGTTGGGAACCACTGCACTAAACAATGCAATCTATCAAACATGACGATTCGTGATCATTTTGAAATGAAATACACCAGTTCCAGAAAATGTAATACAAACCAAAGCCAACTGTCATCCATAAATTGAAACATTACAAATTAACAGTTTTTGCTTGCCAATAGAGTATCATGCATGTCCAGTTAAGAGTAATCTGTCACTAAATATTGCTAGATGTGGAACGCTCCAAATTTGGCCGTAAAGTTAGCACAGATTGATTTACTACTACATTGTCACAAGCTCTCTCAAAATCCATACGTATTAACACTGCAGTGTATTTCTAATTTTACAGGCCTGCATCCAACGGGACAAACGTTGTATTCAAGCCAAGTGACCCCTGTATCCAGAGCTAAGTGCTTCTGGGAACCTTGTGGCCAACGTAGTCATCAAGTGAATGTTCTCAACTCCAGTCAATGTACATTTTAAACGAGTTATCCAGCACATCAAGTCACAGAACTTCTCCACGAATGCAAACACTGCACTTCTATGGCAGTACAACCAACGCTTTTGACATTGCCCCAGGAGGGACCTGTAACGTGCGAGGTGTGTGCCGAGTTAATTTTTTTCTCCTGCTCAACTATTTAGCTTCGCGTGAACTTTACTGTTGACATTTTGCGCTGGAAAATCACGGGGTAATTACTCCGCCGCGTCAGCATAGTTATTATCGGGTTTTTGCCACGTTTAAACTTTACAAAATGAAGGCGATCTCGTTCACTTTCATGCGCACACAATGGAGTCGACTATTTACCACGTTTACGAGGTTTATTGTTTTACAACATAACCTGCGCTTAGGTTAACCCTTAAGACACCAAGAAAATGCACTTAAAATTTGGCTAGATTCGTACAAATAAAAGTACAATAAAGGTTCTGCTTTATGTACGTAAAATTATTTAGTTTAATCAATTTCTGCAGTTGACCGAAATATTTATTTCCCACTCAAGTTTGTGTGTTTTTTTTAATTTTCAAAGTGCGCAAACACTTTTCACAATCACCCCCACAAGCAGCCAAATCTGTAGCCAAACTTTGATCCCTCATCACCTGAACGCCTCTCTCTCCATATCGAAGTAATTCTATTGAATGAGATCACTCAAATGTTCCACTGCTGTATGGTAACTGTGCCATTGTTATTAAACTATTAGAATATTTTGATTTAAAGCTTTCGTGACTGCGGGGATTCATATTCTTGGTTCTTTCGGTAAAGTCACCACGCAGAAGGGAAACAATACAATAATAAAAAATATAAAACAATAAAATTCTCAATTCATTAGTCCCTGCCCAATGCTGGGCCGTGGTTTTATTACCTGTTCCATGTCACTTTCTATCCACTACTGGATTAGATCACTTTATACCCACTTCTGTATCATTCTCCACACAATTCTATATTCTTCAAGGTGTTATCTACCTGCTGCTGGGCAACACCATGTCCCATCCACCGCTGTAAAGCACCATTCTCTATACAATGCCATACCACTGGACTTAACTCCGTTGAATGAGATAACCATTCTCTTATGGAATACCACCGTTCACCCACAACTATCAACTAAGCAATAGCGATGCTGGATAAAGTTTCTCGACACCCACTTAAAGTCTGTACATGCACAATTCTTTAAGCGGAGAACATCAACATTCGAATACCGTTCTCTATACACTACAGTGAAAGTAAAATTATATACACTGGTGAATAAGTAGCATTATACCCACTACTGGATAAGTAAAGTTCACTACCTAATGCAGTACTTTTACAGGATAAATACCAATGCAAACACTCCTAATAAAGAGTTTAAGAGTCGGCGGAAAGCCTGAGATATCACAATATTGGATATTACATAATCAGAAATACTTTATACTGTATTACGATTCTCTACCATTGTTGGACGGGTTCAGTATTATATTCTTGGTTCTTTCGGTTCAGTATTATTTCCCAATAATTAATGACAAGCACCATTCCTTAATCCACTGCTGGATTAAGTCACTCTCTACTCACTTCTGCATAGAAAACGTGGTTGTATAGCGCTGTACCACTGTGTTCACTTCTCCCGATGTAGCATTCCGTAAAGTTTGGCGGCAGGGACAATCCATATCCACTGCTAGCTTCATCAACATGCCATGCGCGACTCTACCTACGTGACTTTACCCAATAGAACCAAAGAGTATCTACCCACTTCCCTTCACTTGTCCAATGGTCGAATGAGACAACACAAATGTCTCTATTTGCAGGCTGTCTGGAGGGGGGCAAGGGGGTTCCCGGCTTGATCACGCGTGCCTCTCCCTACTCTAAGCCATTCCCGTCACTGTTCTTTCACGGCGAGTGACAGCGACATGCTCTATCCCCTGCTGGCCGGAGAGGCCAGGCCAGGCCCCCGGCCACACATAAAACACCCCGCGGCGCGCACCTCGCCAAACCGCGCTCGCGTTTTGGCCGCTCGAACACCGAGGGCCTCGTCTTGTCTCACGTGGAGGAGGAGATGAGGAGGATGAGTGGAGAAGGAAGAGGAGAAAGAGAGGAGGAGGAGACCCCACACATCCCACCCACCCACCCGGAACGCGCGTCGGCCCAGAGAGAATGAGCGAGCGCTCACTTTGGTCTCGTCGCCTTCCTCCACCTCCACCCCACACCGCCGTCGCTGCCAACGCCGCCCGGACTTATTAAACATTGAGCAGAGAGGGGCGCTGGGGCTGGGCTCACCACCACCACGACGACTCCCAAGTGGCTGCTGCCGCCGCTGTTGTTATTGCTGCTGCTGCGGCTGCGGCGGCGGTTGAGTCCTCCGGACGGCCATCTTACCGAGGGACAAACGCGCCAGTCGTCTTTGTCTTCTTCTTCTTTCTTCATACGGTCGCTGATGCGGAATGCAGAACGACAGCTGCAATGTCACAATTTGCAGGCGGTCGACCGGCGTCAGGAGCAGCGGCAGTGGTTATCGCTGCGACAATGAAGACGGAGCCGGCGCCCGGCAGTGAGAGCGCACGGGCGAGGAGTCTCGTCCAGTTGTATGTCCAAAGCGGAAGGCATTCCCCTACAATTATGGCGCGCAGAGTTAAAAGGAGGTTGTCGATTTAAATAAAACGTCGCTGAAACGGTCATCTTAGCAAGGAGCCGAGTTTATATATCTCTCTCTCTACCACACCCCCGCGGTATATTCGATTTTACTTTTGATATTTCACGAGACTGCGTTCCCATCGCGGTGTTCGGCAGGGTGGTCCAGATGTCTTGTGACTACAGTTTAATGATCTGAAACGTACTATATGTTTATTTATTTTTTAAAGCGAGGTTTATTTAAAACAAATGAATACGCGAAGGGGAAAAATAATGTGAGGGGGTTAACTAATTGGGAAGTCACAAGGCATCTGGACCACCCTGTACATTGAGTGTAAATGTTCCCCCCTTACCAACATGGCAACTAAGTTGCCCTGGCTACCACTGATAACTTATTGAGCGTCCACGTTAGCAAAGGACAACCTCCAGTCTACTTTATATTTTATCCATCTTTGACTTAATTCGAGGTTTTGGTTCCTGATAAATGTTAATTAGAACTGTGAAAATGTGAAATCTAGATCGTTGATGGTAACTAATTAAAGTTTTTGGTTGTGTTTTACGTATAAGGAACCGCAGTGCTATCACAGACTACTCTGGAACATAACATTACGTTTCAATATCTTACATGGCTGTTATGAGGCAGTATATATTTAAAATGGACCTTCAGTAGTGAATTCTTGGTTCTTTCGGTAAAGTCACGTAGAAGGGAAACAATTAAATAATAAAAATATAAAACAATAAAATTATCACGTTTCGACTGCAACACAAGCAATCATCATCAGGTGTGAAAACCACAACATTTTCTTGCTGTGGTTTTCACACCTGATGATGATTGCTTGTGTTGCAGTTGAAACGTCATGAGAATTTTATTGTTGTATATTTGTATTACTTTATTGTTTCCCTTCTACGTGACTTTACCGAAAGAACCAAGAATATGAATCCCTGCAGTCACGAAAGCTTTAAATAAAAATTCTTCAGTAGTGTGTTTCTATATTCTTAGCTCTTTCGGTAAAGTCACGTTGAAGGGAAACAATACAATAATAAAACATATATAAAACAATAGTTTTTAACATATTTTTTTGTTTCCCTTCAACGTGACTTTACCGAAAGAGCTAAGAATATGAATTACTGCAGTCACGAAAGCTTTAAACCAAAATTTAGTGTGTTTCTATTATTTGTATTTCAATGTTACAGGAGTGGCTATTGCTGGGCCTAACCCGACCGTAACGTCAGGAGTAGCTTCCCCCCATGTATTGAGAAACACATTAATCAATAACAACCGCCTGAGGAGGAAAACAATACATAGCAAGAGACGTTTCGGGCAACGGTCCTTTCTTCGTCGTCACTAAGGCCAGAAGAGGTGGCATCCACACGTACTGAACGCGAACATCCCTGTACGAATATGGCAGTGCGGTTACCATGGCGACCGCCGCTTGAGTCCCCGTAGCAATCGTACTCCTCGCGCCCATTGGGCAAAACCGTCGCGCTCAAGCCAATCGCAGTCGTAAACTCCGCGTTGCGTCACGCGGATCAACCAATCGCGACGGTTGGTGGTTGGGGGGGGGGACAATTCGATTTCGAGGCACGTGGCGAGCACGTGACCCACGCGGTTTTCGAGCGTCGACTGAAATGTAATGACGGAGTTAACATTACAGCTGGTACCGTATTACCCCTCATGTACAGAGTTGAGTTAAGATCGAATACATGGTTATAATTAATCGTAGTATTATTTAAAATAGGGTGGATTTTCCCTCCCTTGCCCCCCAAAAAAGCAGGCACTGTGTTGCGACGTTTCGATCTCAACACACAAGCGATCGTCTTTTTCCCTGAAGACGACCGCTCGTGTTGCGATCGAAACGTCGTAGTTTTCGGTTATTTTCTTTGAACCTATCTACGTGACTTTACCGAAAGACCCAAAAATATGAATTCCTGCAGTCACGAAAGCTTTAAGTCAAGGGTGTTGCGTGTTAAGTTATTGGCGAAGTGAACGAATACAATTCTGAAAAACGCTGGTCTCTCAAAGTATTTAAGTCATCGATTAATCTACCGATTATCGATTTCATCTCTCAAGACTGACCAAATAACACAATAAATACCTATTTAGCCTTATTTACACATGGCGTGCTGCATTATCTATGATCATGATATTATCCGGCCCCTTACTCAACCCACCCCCCTCTCCCTCCACTTAATCGGATAATCGAGTTGAGTGTACGGCCTTTCCAGGAGGTAAAGTGTTGACATTGGGTTTGTGGCTGTTAGATTAAAGGCAGTGTTTATTTGCAATGTGGGACATTTAAACGCTGTGCTATTGTGAAAGGAATGTACACCTTGAGTAACCAGCTTTGATGGTCTTTTTTAAGCCATTTTGCACTCTTCTATTTGACTTAATGGATGAGAGGCCGCACATTTTTTTACCTTTACCATTGGTACATTCAGGGCCAACTGGACATGTTTATTGTTTTAAAGTCACTCCATATGCCTTGAGGTCGAAACTATGCACCTACTTATCGACCAGGCATGCTTTGTTCATTTGTTAACTGAATGTCTTAAACCATGATCTATCAACTGCTGGATGAAGGCCTTTCCAAGATTTAAAGCTTTCGTGACTGCTAGGATCCATACTCTTTGGTTCTATTGGGTAAAGTCACGTAGGTGAAAATAAAATAACAAAAAATCACGACGTTTCGGCCACAACACAAGCGGCCTTCATCAGGTGAAGGGACGAGACTGTCTGTCACCTGATGAAGGCCGCTTGTGTTGTGGCGGAAACGTCGTGATTTTTTGTTATTTTATTTTCACCTACGTGACTTTACCCAATAGAACCAAAAAGTATGCCTTTCCAAGACTTCGCCATGGCTCACATTCCTGCGATGCAACAATCCATCTGCCACCTGTACCTCAGTTGATTTAAGCACTCAGTCTGTGCGGTGGATGTCGTCCCCTTATGTATATTTCCTCCTTTGTCTCGATCACCAGCCGTAATCTATTCTAGCAGCGTGCCCCTACGAAGTCCACTTGTTCCGTCAGTCAATACGAAGTATGTATTTTTCATTTGTTCTCTATGTTTGATTGTAATTTCAAGAATTCATCTCTCCCTTCTTTGCACACGTATGTCATAGCAGATAAGATAAACTACTGGACATCTGTGAAAAAGAGCTTGAAAACTCATTGGATTCCTCTAGTATAAATAAAGATTCTGATTTAAAAAAAAGGTTTCTTTAGGTGGAATGCTTTTCATTAAGTTCAGTTTATAAAACACACTCCAACCTATAATCTTAGCTCTTTCGGTAAAGTCACGTTGAAGGGAAACAATAAAATAATAAAATATATATAAAACAATAAAAATTATCACGACGTTTCGACCATAACACAAACGTCATCATCAGGTGTGAAAAAACAACGGCAATTGCCGTTGATGATGACCGTTTGTGTTATGGTCGAAACGTCGTGATAATTTTAATTGTTTTATATATTTTATTGTTTCCCTTCAACGTTACTTTACCGAAAGAGCTAAGAATATGAATTACTGCAGTCACGAAACCTTTAAATGAAAACACTCCAACCTACTCTTATCCATCTTATTTCATAATTTTGAACCCAGGCAACCTTTAATAGCTGCCCTAGGTACACATACTCTGATGTGTTCTCCAGCTGAGACCTTCTAACAAATAGGTACTCTATCTTCAGTTGTTTATATAACTGTTTGCATGCAACTTTCCTTCTCTTTTGCCCATACTGTATAAATTGAGCTCTACTTTACATCCTTCTGCAAATTTGTGCTCAATACATTTTTGTTTGTTATTGTATCTATCGTCAGGAAATCTTGAGAGGCCAAATATTGGCAAATATATCTGTTTATATTTGTATCTTTTTCGGAACATTGTATTGTATAAACAATCTTGCAATGTGGCTGCCAACAACTTTATTGAAAGCGTGCCTCCTTGTTTCAAAACATTTGTAATGTATTTTGGTACTTTGTGCATTCCCAGTACTGTATAGTTACAAACAAATTGTTAATAGTTTTTGTTATTCCTATGCTTTCTTAGGAAGATGAATGCATTATCACATTACATCACGGCTAGCCTTTGCAGAGCCAATTGACTAAGCTCTCACAAGCCATATCCTAAATAGAATATACTGTTGAAAAATTAGAATATACTGTTGAAAAATTTCAAGATGCTGTGCATGAGCAGGGGACAATGATGATGTAAAATCGGGAGATGATATCCGATGCTGGGCACGGAATGACGGTGAGGATACGTGGAAGTGGAGAAAATGTTGAAACACTAGAGCAATGGTTCTGTGGAAGAGGAGCAATGATGTGGAGGGCAAGCCAGAAAATTAGTTTGAGGTAACGAGGCAGTTAGGCCAAGCGATGGAGAGAACGCAAAAAAGGGATTGCGGAAAAAGTAAAAATATAAATCAATTCGAGCATTGGGGAGATGAGGGCTGTGTTGGGGTTCAAGGCTGGGCAGTGGCACATTCCGAAAACACAATGTGTCAATTAACGCTCATATATTGCAAACATTTTCACTTAATAAAAATGTCACTGGTTGATACTCTTAAGGAAGATAATTTCATCACCATGTATGGAATATCACAAAAAGAAACCCCCACTGGCCAGGCAGCATGCATACTCAGTGGACAAATCTGCCTTGCCTCCCGTGGGAATATATACAGCTTCATGATACCGTCAGGAACCGGACGACCTGACAATGGCTTTCCGACAAAACACCTACGCACACACCACACTGTGCTGGGCTAAAGCTCTACGTGATGTACGTGCGTTCTCTCTGAAACAATTTCTGCACTTGAACATTGCCGGGCTTAAATTAGGCCATTAGAGCTGCATGCATGCAAAATTGTTGCCTGTTTTGTTCACGTGACTATGCAATGCATTCCTGATTTTTATGACTAAGTTAATGCTGCAATAAATACACTAAAATATATGTCTGCATTTGCATTCTATAAATATAAATCATTGTAATGACCAATCATTATTATTACATTATTGCATGTTTAAAACGCTAATGTACATCCCGTTATATGTGCATCGCTCGTAGAAATTGCCTTGACCACAAATGCATTCAGAACGTGCAAGATTTTTACAATGTGAAATTTCAAATGCCATTGTTGACGACACACATCAATAAAGACAAGACTGACTTTAAAGACGCAGTATCACCCATTAAATCCCTTTCATACTTGTAATACCTTGTCAAACATGCCTCATATATGACCCTGTGAAAGACAGCAAGCATCCATTCAGTGATGTACTGTACAGTATTTCCATTGTTCAGTGTGAAGTGCATTCTCTGGCTTGCACTGCTGCCAGTAGCTATCTCGAGCACCACTGCAAATCGTTCACTGATCAGCAGTGCAAGGTACCCATTTAAGCAAATGTGAGCCTTCTATGTTTTCAGTGTTTCCCATATACCGGTAGGGTGGTGGTGGTGGTGGGGGGGTGAACTGACATTGGGTTCTGTAGTGGTACACTGCGGTGAGGGGCCCAAATGGGACAAGTTGAAATGGGCTGATTCCATGTGTTGTGGGATGTTTGGCTCTACCCCCTTGGGATTCACGGGACGCGAAACAGCGAGGGCGGTTGTCGTAGCAACAGGCGGGTTTGGTTCACACATGCCGCATCAACATTCCCGTCGTCTTTGTTGAAACACGGTAACAATTACGACAGAAAAATACATGGTGAGTATGGGGGGGGCGGAGGGGGGGGGGATGTAATTACGTGGGGCAAAATGAGGGTTTAATGTTCACGCGATTGTCTCCGAATCAGCGGTGTATAAGCTTTGGGAATGGGCATGGTATATATATGTTTTTGTTTCCTTTATCTGCTCCAACAGAAAAATATGGGTTGTGTAAAACAAATATTGGGTGAGTGTAATGAAGGGGTGAAAAGGGTTGGGCTTAAAGAACACTTGCACCCGTGCTCATGTTTGAACGACAAAAGTGTTGTCCTGTTATTCTTACTGCACCACACTCGTTAGGTCTGTTTCAAGACTACTTGTAAATCACCTTGCATCGTGACCATACATTATTCGTTCATATATTCTCTACTCTTACACCAAGTCTAGTCCTGCATTTCACCGTACTGTAAATAACGTGAGTTACAGAGGGGCGACATACGAGAGGAGTTCAATCCCCATCCGTAACTCACATCAGTGGTGATTTGCATGCGAAACGGTCCCAGGTACCCCCTTCACCAAGTATGGTCAAACAATTCCCATGACCGATATCGTTTGGGGTGGCATTCAACAGTGCATTGAAAAATGGCTGTGCAGTACTGTTTATCGTTAATATATAATTGTCTCTTGCGAATATATTATATTTATCATTTCTGCATTTGCATTTTAAATTCTGTATATCCTCATAACCCTGATTGTACTTTATTATACTGGTAGGAACCTGGTCACACCAGCCCACAGGGGAATATTGTGTCCGTCCGTCCGTTGTGCATCCAAAAATGAGAGGGGCTGGGTGGGGAGGGGAGGGTGGGGAGGGGCTGGGTGGGGAGGGAGGGGCTAGTGGGGAGGGTGGGGCTGGTGGGGAGGGTGGGGAGGGGCTGGGTGAAAAGGGTGGGGAGGGGCTGGATGGGGAGGGAGGGGCTGGGTGGGGAGGGAGGGGCTAGTGGGGAGGGTGGGGCTGGTGGGGAGGGTGGGGAGGGGCTGGGTGAAAAGGGTGGGGAGGGGCTGGATGGGGAGGGTGGGGCTGGGTGGGGGGTGGGAGGGGTGGGGCTGGGTGGGGAGGGGCTGGTCACCCCGTGGTGCCCTTATAAAACTCAACGTTTAACCTACTCACGCCAGCTTGTGCCCGCCCTCACAGTCGGGCATATTTGCGGAATACACCACGTGGTGGTGCCGCCGTTGTTGTTGACCCTGGCCATTGACCGAGCAACCCAACGTTCCTACCAGCTCCCTCCGCAGGAATGTGTTGATGTGCAGACATAAAATGGACATCGCGCTTAATTTCAGTGGCATAAATGCTTCCATGGCATGACTTGAAAGAACATGTTGGCATCATTGCCACATTATAGGGAATTATGTGTGCCAGGTCTAGTTGATCTTGTGTGAAGTGATGGTTGAAACCCTCTGGCCACGCTGCTTGTTGAATAGACGATTGCATTTAATTAGATGTGATAATGATGGCATTAAATCAGTAAAACATGTGCTTGCCCAGAATTATGTCCATACCTTCTTTACTTGTATGTTTTCAGCCTTGTCTGAATCGCTATGCACACCTCTGAATGAACACACCCCAGGTGCATCCTTGAAGCTCGCAACTGTGTTACGTAGTATCATTCCTTGTTATGTCACTTGCAAAGTCAACCCGACATGGAACGGATCAAAGAAGTGATATATTGCCAAATTGTAGAGCTATACATAAACTAGCTGCAACATTTAGTTGCTGATTGCCATATAATTTGTGTTTACGAGGTCATTATAAACATACATGATTTCACAGCTGGCGATTTTCATTAGAATTTTAGCTAGTGAATTAATTATCAAGCAGTGGCCTTTTTATGGTGTCCATAACCATGACTGGTTGACGTGATATATCACTTTCCAGTGTCCTATCATCAAATTGAAGCTAAAATTGTAACTTACAGTATTAGCATACAGCTGAATCATTGTGGTGATACAATGAATTTCAGCAATTGGGTCATGCATATCCAGTGATATGGGAACTACTGCAGTCAAAATATAAACATGTCATTTTCCGAATGTGCATGTCCAAACATGAAAAAAATCGTTCAGCTGGAAGTGAGAAGTGGGACAGGACTCTTCAAGATGCACTAGAGCAAATTGCTGATGTTTATTTTACAGTAAATGATTTCAGCCCCTTCACCCAGCATGTGAACGCATATAAAAAAAAGTAATCAGAATGATGACGCTTGTATGCAGTTGTACAGCAACTTCTGAGTGTATTGCAAATTGTGTTATTGGCTTTGGACCAAGTTTAAACAGCACAAGAAGAATGTGTTCCAACCTATCTGCCTATTTATTTAAAATACTGATTATCCCAGTTAAGCCTTCAAAACCCGCTATGACGTGTTTTGCATTTGTGTGCAACCACCTTCAATTGTTGAGCAAAGTGTATTTAGTTTTTCAACCATTCCCCACGTTTCATTTCCATTGGTTGTTACTATTACTAAATTGACTGTCATCAGAAAATCTAATGGGAATATTTTTTTCCTCCACGTACGTTAATGCCTGTATTTCTAAAATACAATTTTCACAAAACATACTATACAACAGACATTCTTCTTTGCTCAGAGAATTTCTGTTTTCGTGCCCCCCTGATGATACACAATGGTTATCTCATCCTAGACTACCTTGGACTTCCCCCAGCGATGCTCCTCTCGCTTCTGACTCGTTTTGTCAACCCTCTCAGTTCTCATTTAAGCTACAGGTGGCTGTGGGTTGAGCAAAGAGGGCCGAGCCGTTTGAGAGCCACCCTGTCAATGGTCGAGAATAGAAAGAAGCTGGCTATTCTGTCACGAGTCCATCGACCAGGCCGTTTTCAAGGGACGTGGGAATGCTGGCCCTAGGAGCTTGCTGGAACCAAACATGATCCATTGACTCTTGGCGGATCCAAAACGCATGGATCCAGCACTCTGTGGGAACGTGCCGGTCCTGCAATCAGCCAGCAACCAACCCAGTGAACATGCAATTTTGGGCCAACGTTGGCATGTGCTTGAAACCATGAGACCAGCGTTCTATGTTTACTGGAACGTCAATTTCACATCTCTGCGTTTAAGCAACGTTATTAACGACTTTTTTTTCAACAGTGCGGTGAACCCCCTTACGAGAGAGATTGTGCTGAAATAAGGATTGAAGGTGGTCCGTTATATGGTATTGATATGTAAATAGTAAGTCGTTAGATATGAGGATAATAAGGGGCGGGTCTGTTAATATAACATAGTCAGAGGGTGAGCCTGTGTTTTGCTGCAGTCGATACCAATCTACAACACAGGGTTCCGTGGTTGTCCTGTATAGCTCCACGATTTGATTTCGGGTTGTACTGCGTGTTGTTCACATGATGGGAGCCTATTCAGGAACTGTACACGAGTACTGTATTTAATTTCCCGAATAAGGTCCCGGCACGTGGAGCAAACCGTCGGACATCGTGCCGAACAATGTGTGGTAGAACTCGAAAAAACACAGCACCAATTGACCAATCTGTTCATAAAACAGGTTCTGGCTACCGGACGCTACCGATTGTACAATCCCCGCAGGGATGATGATGAGCTGCCAGCCGAACCTGAAATGTGCGCTTTTGATATCTCAATGATCTCACTCGTGAGCCAAGTGTTATTCTGGCCTCAAATATTCTGATTTGTATGCATCTGTGCTGCAGTATTATAAAGTAAAATTTTTGTCGTAATAAAACTATCCAATGCCACAGTTGCTCTCACATACAATATAAGACTCCTTTAAAAATGTATTGTGCAGGTCGGCAAACAGTAGTTTCAAAAAGAATGAGAATTCATGAAATAAGTGGATTATATTTTTCCTCTGCCACTGCAATTGAGTCTGCACATTGCTTTCATGGCTCAATATTACGTAATATTGCTACTGCATTTGAACAAAAGAAAAAAAAGCACATGAAACCTCAGTTAAAGTGGCTTATTATTTATTTATCATTTGGACGCTTGAGACTGGGATTGGTTGAGATGAAGCTCACAGAATTCGGTCACTTCTGGTTGAATCATTAGCTTCCCCGTGGTTGGGGGACGCCCGGGTACTGACGAGGGGGCAAGACTGGAACGCTGAAGCCAGTGTCCCAATGCAATAAGTGTCTGACATCTTAATGACACCCGAGGTCCCCATGAAAATTGCAGTATCTGTTCAGTCAAGCATTGCTGGACATGTTGTCGTAAGTGTCTGTTGTGACAGCTCCGGTGAGCACGATTGGCTACGTAGGGTCCGATGTAAGTTATACAAATATACAGATGTCACTGGCTGTGCGCGCACAACAGCCAAAATCACACTGGTAGAAAAAAAACACCCGTTAAAGGAAATAAAAACACGCATAAAACTGGAAATTTATTTTAAATTCATTCCCTCAAAAGTAACACGTACAGTCAAAATAAACCCAGCTGAATGAATACCTCGGTGTATGCATAACTTGGTTTCACACATTTGTATTCTTTGGGTCTTTCGTTATCTACGTGACTTTACCGAAAGACCCAAAGAATATGAATTCCTGCAGTCACGAAAGCTTTAAGTCAAGATTTCATACATTTTGATTGGACATATCAAACCTAAGATGTTTATTATTTTCAGCAACGTAAATTACGCCTTTTTTCTAAGCAATAAATAAAATATTTGGCTAGATTTTTTTTTCAAATGTACACATTTTACATAATTACTGTATGCAAAGGTTGACATGTTATATAGTGCTAGGATTATTGAACTGTTATTGTTTTAGATCGCAGACAACCTAACATCTTTACTACGAACAAGCCTCTGTCTTGTTGTAAAACAATATAAAACACTGCAGTAATATTAAACATAAATGCAAATGTACACATTTAGCCACTAAAATAAATTCATGTAATGTTTTGATGCGAAAAAAGTGCACAAATCGAACAGGTGGAAAAAAACAAAGTGTTATTTTTTGTTTGTGGTATGTTTAATAAATTGCAATGAAACTACTTTAGCTTTATGAAATCATGTAAATGTCATCACTTTGATGATAGATTGACCACTGTTATAAGCAGTACAAAACCAGGAAAAGCCACTAGACATTAAAACAATGTTTAAAGCATTAAATGCATTGAATCAAGTTAACTGTACAGGCTTTGACTCATTCACGTAATTCCAAATAACTCAATAAATGTATGCGTGTGCTCATTTCAAAGTCATGCCTTTGACATAACTTCTAAGGAAATATATGCTCCTTGTCTTGCTTTTGCTTGGTGCCAGTAGATGTCCATTTACTCGCAATGTGGTCGGCTGTAGATCTGAAGAGCCTTAAATTCACTCCATACAGGACAAAATCCATGAATGCACTTCACAGGACCCTTATCACTTCCCACTACATTTGCCACACCCCCTCACAATCTTCGTGTAAACTCGACCCTCCATATTAGGTCTTGTTTGGCCTAAAAAAAATAGCCAAGTCCTGGGACAACAGTCAAACACTGCATTTCTTGATCAGCATTTATAAATGTACAGCGAAATAAACGTCTCAATTTAGAGCTCTCTATACTGCAATGTAGCCTTAACAACACAATTGCCTTCTTCTGACCTATTAGACCACTGTGCTGACATTGTGATGTGTTTTCCGTTGTGGCGTCTTCTTGATAGTTAAATAAAAAAAAACCCACATTAAAAGAGTCGCTCACATTCATTTAAAAATCGAACACACATCTATTGATAAACTTCGCTCTCCTTCCAAGCTCGACGTGGAAACACATTTTCGACAAAAAAACAGAAGTCACCACCGCATCAGGCAACTCATGTGGTGGATGCCTCACATGGGAAGGCCCTCTGCCCTGGGGCCTTGCAAGCTCGTCTCTGATTGGTAGACGACGGTGGCGGGCTCCTTGAGCTCCGATCCCGCACGCTCAAAGAGGGCGATGGTGCGGTCGTCTGGGCTCTTCTTGCGCGCCGTGTCGGGGCAGTTCTGCACAAAGATGACCCTGTTGTAGGCTTTGAGTCGGCGCCAGAGCTGCACGTACACTTTGCACTGCACGTACATGAAGACGAGGCCTCCCGTGAACCCGATGGCCACCACAATCAGCTTGGTCCAGAACGGCCATTCCAAGATGCCTGAAATAATGACAGCACGCGCCTCAGCTAATGACACAGATCAGCTCCTTTGGTCGATGTGCTTGAGTGCAAATGTCTCATCGGATTCACATTAATGGAACATTTACATTATTGCATCACTTGATGGCAGTCGACCCCAACGCCCCGGGGCTGCCCATCCTGGCACACGTCTCTCCGCCACCCACCCGGCGCAATGCTGCAACCCTCCGGGAAGTCTTGGTAATCGAGGAAAACAGTCGCCCCTTCCCATTCATCAGGGCCTTAATAACTTCCCTCGTCATCGCTTGAAGTCACGCAAGCCCTTTTGGACCCATGCGCTTAACCTGAAACAATGCGAATTCAACTCTGATGAAGCTTGTAAAGCTGAATGGAGGTCAAATAAACTCACAAACAAACACCGTTTGAAAGACCCCACACAGAAGATCCCTGGTTTTCATCTTCCACAAAGCTCACGGTTCACCCTAAACTGCATCCGTGCAAACAATGGCAGATGCGGATACCTGATGCACAAATGGAATATTAAAAACTGTCCAGTGTGTGACTGTGGTCATCCAGAACAGACCATACAATGTATAACGATGCAATGCCTGATCCACAAATACAAAGGAGACATCGCAGTGACGCACTCCACTGCTCCTGATGTGGTTGTCTGGACTTGACCACCTGAATGGGAAACTGTAGTTGTTGCTCTGCATCTACATCAGCTATACGATAGAATAAGTGGATGACTGCTTCATTCTGAGACATGCGATAAGAGGATTTGCAAGCCACGTGATATTCACATCGTCAAAGCTGCCAACGGAACAATGCTAAATGTATAATAAAAACATTAGTGCAGTCAAATAAAATAACTAATACGATCATTTCAATACACTCTATTTGAAAATGCATGAACCCCAATGAGTTTAATCTATTCTCATTGGCAATAAAGCCTTGGGTAATAATCACCATATCAACAGTTTTTACGACTGTAACTTCTATATCAGTGTTATATCTGAAATATAGATGTTCTTGTCAAAAATAAAAACAACGATGTTCTTGTCAAAATTATGTTACATTGTCGAGTGTGTCCCCTTCACAGCAGACAAAGAACTTTCTGGAATTTCCTACAGGCGGTTTCACAACGGAACCTACGATACTGCCAAAATAAGTAGCCGCTGGCCAATTTATCTGCGAAAATTTGAATAGAAAATATGTATCAGCAGGATCCCCCCCCCCCCCTGCAAATGGCTGTTTTTTTGTATATACTGTTTGCGTTTAGAGTAGCTTACGTCTAGAGAAGCTGGCTGTCATAGTTTGGTCAAATGTGATGTAACAATTAAACCATAGACCAATGTATTTATTTTTAAATTCTTAAGTAGGAATGCTGATCCTCGAAAGATAGATTTTGCTGAAAATGAAACAAGTAACTCCATCACCAACAGTGACTGTTTTTCACATTTCATCTGCAGATTTATTCTGAAGAAGACTGGTTCAACAGGCTGGAGAATGCAGCCTTCCTACGAGCGGACAAGTCTGCCATTTCTCCCACACGACTCAATGTCCGCAAAACTGGTCGAGACATCTATGATTACGACTCTCACCGTTCTCCTGCCCGTGCCGTATCTCCTCCGCTGTCCGATCGATGAGCACGTACAGTGACCACACCACACAGGTGATGGCGATAATGTGGAATGTGACGGAGCAGATTATTTTTCTCCGTTCACTCGTGGTCATCTGCAGTTTCTCCCACTGCAGGAGAAAGTACAGAATCCCATGAGCAGGTTGTCCAGATGCCCTGGTATACAGCGCATAGCATGGGGGAGGGGTGGCTGAAGACTTAGCACCCCCTTAAAAAAAATGTACAGTCAAGTAAAAATATGTTGGTACAAAAGAAATGGGCATCGCAGCCTTTCCGCATATACAGTGAGGGAAAAAAAGTATTTGATCCCCTGCTGATTTTGTAAGTTTGCCCACTGACAAAGAAATGATCAGTCTATAATTTCAATGGTAGGTTTATTTGAACAGTGAGAGACAGAATAACAACAACATCCAGAAAAACGCATGTCAAAAATGTTATAAATTAATTTGCATTTTAATGAGGGAAATAAGTATTTGACCCCCTCTCGATCAGAAAGATTTCTGGCTCCCAGGTGTCTTTTATACAGGTAACGAGCCGAGATTAGGAGCACACTCTTAAAGGGAGTGCTTCTAATCTCAGCTTGTTACCTGTATAAAAGACACCTGTCCACAAGCAATCAATCAGATTCCAAACTCCACCATGGCCAAGATCAAAGAGCTCTCCAAGGATGTCAGGGACAAGATTGTAGACCTACACAAGGCTGGAATGGGCTATAAGACCATTGCCAAGCAGCTTGGTGAGAAGGTGACAACAGTTGGTGCAATTATTCGCAAATGGAAGAAACACAAAGAACTGTCAATCTCCCTCGGCCTGGGGCTCCATGTAAGATCTCACCTCGTGGAGTTGCAATGATCATGAGAACGGTGAGGAATCAGCCCAGAAATACATGGGAGGATCTTGTCAATGATCTCAAGGCAGCTGGGACCATAGTCACCAAGAAAACAATTGGTAACCCACTACACCGTGAAGGACTGAAATCCTGCAGTGCCCGCAAGGTCCCCCTGCTCAAGAAAGCACATATACATGCCCGTCTGAAGTTTGCCAATGAACATGTGAATGATTCAGAGGACAACTGGGTGAAAGTGTTGTGGTCAGATGAGACCAAAATGGAGCTCTTTGGCATCAACTCAACTCGCCGTGTTTGGAGGAGGAGGAATGCTGCCTATGACCCCAAGAACACCATCCCCATCGTCAAACATAGAGGTGGAACCATGCTTTGGGGGTGTTTTTCTGCTAAGGGGGACAGGACAACTTCACCGCATCAAAGGGACGATGGACGGGGCCATGTACTGTCAAATCTTGGGTAAGAACCTCCTTCCCTCAGCCAGGGCATTGAAAATGGGTCGTGGATGGGTATTCCAGCATGACAATGACCCAAAACACACGGCCAAGGCAACAAAGGAGTGGCTCAAGAAGAAGCACATTAAGGTCCTGGAGTGGCCTAGCCAGTCTCCAGACCTTAATCCCATAGAAAATCTGTGGAGGGAGCAGAAAGTTCGAGTTGCCAAACGTCAGTCTCGAAACCTTAATGACTTGGAGAAGATTTGCAAAGAAGAGTGGGACAAAATCCCTCCTGAGATGTGTGCAAACCTGGTGGCCAACTACAAGAAACGTCTGACCTCTGTGATTGCCAACAAGGGTTTTTCCACCAAGTACTAAGTCATGTTTTGCAGAGGGGTCAAATACTTATTTCCCTCATTAAAATGCCAATTAATTTATTACATTTTTGACATGCGTTTTTTCCGGATTTTGTTGTTGTTATTCTGTCTCTCACTGTTCAAATAAACCTACCATTAAAATTATAGACTGATCATTTCTTTGTCAGTGGGCAAACGTACAAAATCAGCAGGGGATCAAATACTTTTTTTCCTCACTGTAGATCGGGTCAGCTAGAGTAAAATACATGATATATTTATGTTTTACACTCTCAACTAGGTTTAATGCATACCTAGGAAAGCGTTATTCCAAGCAATAATCTAGGATTTTTGTAAGTTTGATCCAAGCGGAATATTTTGTAAGGTTTTGACGTTGATCTGCACAAGAAATGCCATTAACAGCGAATGTCTCGTCTGCATTGACTCTGTGACAATCACAGCTGGATCCCATGATGGCCTTGCTGGAAGTGGTTCGCTAGCCCTTGGCAAAGCGAGATACACTGCTGAGTTACAGCTCACCTGAAGGGTCGGCACCTCTGAGGACATAATCAAGGGAAGATGAACGTCTCACGATTACAGAATAGGGGAGAACTACATATACATGTACTGCCGCATTGCGAAGTGGATTATTATGCAAATGACAAAAACAAGGCCTTTGAATGTCCCAGGAAAACTCATATTTCTTAGGATGGCCACCTCAATAAGAGTATGATCCTGAGAAAACCAGGACACGTGGCAACCCTACTCACTTGGCTGGTCAGGCTGCTGTGGGAATTTAGGTCATGCCCATCAGCCTGGTTCACAAACTGGACTGAGCTGGTTTCTAAGCGTTTGTAGGAATGCAGTAATAATACGAGTCGTGTTACGTCAGGCAGTGCAGCAGCATTAGGGTTCCTGTAGTTTTTTTTACGTGCAATATTAAGCTGCCATATAATGAATGAACAAAGACAAATGCATAGAAGCAAGTGTTTAAAACCTGTGGTTCATAACCTGGGGTGCACGCACCCCCCTGGGGATGCGAGACATGGCCAGATTTTTTAGAAGATAAATAATCGAAACACAAATTAAGCATGGGCACGTAAGTACAACTACTTTGTTTCAAACACACGTATTTATTTACATTATAAATGTTTTAACGAACGAGAACCAAAAGGGTCCAAAGCTGCAGTAAAGGTTAAGAACCACTGGTTTAAACTATTACTGTATTTTTGCTCTATTTCCTCAAACTGGCGACCTCTGGACCACTCAGAGGTCGCCAGTTTGATGTACCGGCGTGGCAGTTGAAATATCCGGCAGGGTTCTTAAATCCCCTCCCACCCCCAACCTTCTGTCCACCCAGAAGTATATAAATGGGTACACCGCAGTCAATCAGCAGGTCACGTGTGGTGGGGTAAAGTGTGGGTACTGCTACCTCTTCCAAAAAGTCTGTCCAGTGTGGAAGAGTAGGTGGAGTACCCGATAGAGTCTGTCTGCAGCTCCCCGAACAGCTCCTTCTAGCAGATGCTCTTCCTCCAGCAGTGGTAAAGAGCAAGTAATTTCAGGGCTGCACATTCAACTTTCTCAGCTTTCTTGTCGGTTTCTATTCAGTGCCAAGGCCGTCGTAGTTATTTTTTTATTTTCAGAAGGTTACAATATGTCGCAATAGAAGTCATTTTGATGGCCGTCAAGGTCACCTTCCTTAGCAGTCTGCAAACAACCTGAAGCTGCATACATCAACTGTCGATCAGTGTAAAGCTTTGTGTGGCTACATTAGCTTGCGCACGTGGGTACTTGTGATGTCAGCATCTCAAACAGATACTGTAGAGCACGGTATAAGTAGACTTACGTAGCATTGTGGGATTGTAATGCCTTTTAATACACTTCTTCTTACGTTTTATACTCTCATATCTTATCATTAATGCCAATGTATTCTCCAACCCATTATTTTTTTGCACCACAAAATACTAAAATGTATGTACTTTCGCACCATACGCCGACTTAAATATATAGTGCAGCATGCATTGCGTAGCTATATATTAATGTGTTGTAATGGCAAGGCCTATAGATAATGGCAATGTGATATTTACTTCTCATACAATCTAGAGTACTTATGTTATTAGGGTACGATTTAACCTTTGTTTGAATCCTGCTCATGAACTACAGCATGAATTTTGATGAATGACATAGCTCTTTCAAAAGGTCTTGGTCTCATTAGAAATATAACTGCCCTTCGTGGCTCGTCTGACCTGATTTTTACTCCAAATGTCCAAAACTTTTGTACGTGTAATGAGTTTTGTGCAATGAAACAGACATTGTATTACTGTGATTTCAGTTACATTCATGAAAAGTAAAGTATACATAAAATCTTGATTTGAAGCTTCCGTGACTGCAGGAATACATACTCTTTGGTTTTTTCGGTAAAGTCACGTAGGTATAAAATAAAAATAAATCACGACGTTTCGGGCGCAACACAAGCCTCCGTCATCAGGTGGGAAAACATAATCTGCTGCTGAGGCAGACTCTTTTAAATGGTTTGAAATGGGTGTAGCCCAAGGGTCATAAAGAAGTGGCCGGGGATAGTGATGTTAATGTGAGAAGTTAAAATGTAACTGTAGAAAAGGAGGGTGAGCATGAAAGATCTAAGAGAGAGGCATAGCGAGAGAGACAGTCGGAAATAACAGCTGACATAGGCAGGTAGGATGGAAACATCACAGTCAGTTAAGACTTTACCTGGTTAATAACGTCCTTCCAATGATTGCTCAATTTGTACCCATCCTCTTGGTTGAAGTTGTGTCTGTGTTTAAATATCTGGATGGCTTCATGAACAAATCTCTGAAGGTAGCCGGTAGGTTTCGTGTGAGCCCACACCATTAAAACAATGATCGGCAATGGCAGAGGTATTGGTCCTACCGTGTTTCAGATCTGCCTTTTGTTCACGAACGCGGTCCGAGACATGTCGTTTCGTTTCCCCAATGTAACTGCTGTAACTCAGTTTGTAGACACCAGGGTATTGCATGTCAGGAATCACATCCTTTACAGATGGGATTAAATCACGGATTTTGTGTATTGTGTTGAAACGAACCTGGATCTTGTGTTTGTTTAAGATTTTAGAAATATTTTTGGTAACCCGTACATAGCAGGGGTTACCAAAAAGATAGCCCTCTTTTTGAAGCAGCTGTTCCCAGGATATTAGAATTTGACAATGTCTTTACATGCTGTTATCTCCTCTTCAGGAATCGTGAGATATTTTTCTTCCCATGATATGCCCCGGTTGTATGTACCTTCAAAGGTGCTAACCCCACTGTTAACACTACATCTCTGAACGATTTTTAGTTGGCGACTTCCAGATATTTCATAGCTCACCAGGCTGCAAAGCTAATCTACTGTATCATGCGTATTAAGGTACAGCGGAAAGTCATTACACTGGAGCTTCAGATTTGGTTGAACTTGAGGAGCGAAGAAAAGAAAAAACTAATTAAGTTCATGCCAAGTGCAATGGGCAAAACCACAGTGCTTGACAGAGGTGAATGTCAAGTAATGACTCGGATAAAGATCACTTGTGAAGTGGTTTTAGGTGGACTTTCCACCGAATATAAAGGTGAAAGGAATATGTATCATGTTCCATCATGCCCACTGAACCACGTTTGTATGCACGTGTGCGCACGTGCGTGGGCAATGGTAGTGGTGGTTAGGGCACCCTGCTACGAACCTGGCGATCCGAATTAAGATTTCCACTCATGGTCAACATCGGTGATGCATATCTCAACCGGTCCTGGGCCTCCCCTAAGTTTACTCAGCCTTTAATGAGTATCTGATGCAGTGTGTACAAAGCAGCACTGGGGAGACAAAGGTGGCCGGGTGTGATCATGGCCACACCACCCCATCATCTGTCGAGTGTTGGCCTGCAATAGGCACTCACGAACACCACTTGCCCAATCAGTGTGTGGCAATGTGCGTGTGTGCTTCTCAGACTTGCTTGGTATCCAGGGCCGCAGTGGGTTATTGAGAGTCAACACCGTGAAACACATTACTTTGCGTGTGTGTGAATATGCTATACATAATGCCATACCTGCATTGTTAGCAGGCACAATACGTTAGAAATTAATCGTTTTTAGACAAGATTGAGGTATTTTTCAAAAGCATGATTGCCATTATATAAAGGTAAAATGTAACTTGTATTTGGAATGGATGTTTAGGTCATGACAAGGCCCAGAGTAGCATGTAATAAAAAATATAACATCGCAGTGTTATTAAATATACAATACTGTATGTATTCTTATGTTTCGACAATCAACACAAAATCTTATTTCTTAATGTTCACCATACCAGTCTTTAAGAAGAAATACAGCCCTGTGTTAATCCACAAATTGATGAAGGCCTTCCCACACCGTGTCGGTCATGGGCCTTGTATGACCACATTTCCCCGTACTAGCCAGTGCGGCTTTGGCGTCGGGGGAGGCAGCCAGGTCCGGTTCAGACATCGCTCGCGCACTGACGTTTCCCCTGGCCGTGACTCAGTCTCCATCCACCGGGTACATAGCGCAGCGCCGATAAATGTCGCTGCACCGGCGGTTCAACCCCCCCCCCCCCCCCCTCTGGTCCCTGAATGGTTTAACGACGGCGGACCGCCCTCGTTGTTGGGACTGAGCCGAAGCCAAGTGGCACACACCTTGCGCAGGGGCTTGAGTTTGCTCTCCATGATGAAGTCATACTTGCACAGCTCGCAGCAGCGAGTGTCCGAGCTCTTGATCCACTGCTGGAGGCAGCTCTGGTGCACGAAGCGCAGCGAGCCCGTGCAGTGGCACGGCGTGATGAGCCCGTTCTCCTCTTCACCCTCGCAGTGGCAGATCCTGGCGCAACACGGGCACAGCAGCGAAACGTCAGTAGGTGGAGAGAAGATCCCCCCCCCCCTACTCTGTTGGTGAAGACCTATTCAAGGCGGGAATGGTGCAATAACAAAGACAAATGTCCCCTGTATATCCTTAGACTTAATTTCTGTTAACGAGCACCTATGAGGGCCAGCACAGCTCACGGACGGGGAGGGGGGTGGGGGTGACCAGCACCGTTCCAGGCAAACCTGGTCTCCCCAGTTCTGATGTTGACACAACGTACCGTGGGTGCACATGTTGGACTGGGTCAACCTCGAAGAGGCCCAGGACCAATTCAGATATGCATCACCAATATTGGCCCTGGCCAGTATTAGAGCTCAGGTCGCTGCGGTCACAGAGCGAGCAGTGCCACCAACCACTGACCGGCAGCCTCTTTGCAATGTTCAGCGCTTTTAAGAAAAAGGATACTAAAATTCTAATAATCAGCAGATGCTGCCAATGCGGTATGCCCCCGGTATACGGCAGGGATTAGTCCCTCCCGGAAGTGATCCAGAAATCCATCATTTCGGGATCGGTTGTCCCACGGGTTACGGGAGGAGTCACCAACCATGGGTAATCCGCTCATTTCAGGGACTAGAGCATTATTGGAGTATGATTTTCATTTTGCTGTAAGGCAATAGTTTATAGAGTCACCCCTGCAGTCACTAGAAGTGCTATAGTGCCAAACAATGTAAAAAAATTATTATTGTTACCCTGGATCACGACGATTAATAAACTTACCAGTGGGTTGAATGTTTCTATGCGAACTACTGATTAAGCTATACAATACGTCAATCCTGATTGCCTCAATGTCCTTGATATTGGAGCATGCCATCATTTTGCTCAATAGGCTATGGCTGTGTAGCTTTTGAATAGTATAATGAATTGTCAAATCATGGCCGTGCATATGTATACTGCATTCTCATCCGCGAATGGTATATAATGTAGGCACGCATTCTCAGTAACTAATTCTCATGTCACATTTGTTGTACAGGAATGCACTCCATGTGCAATAACAGAATACTCACCCCACCTACAATTGTCACATAAAGCACACCGGTCGCTGCATAGGTAACAAAGTCAATTTTTTTTTGAATTGCACCAATTTTGATAAAAGTGAGGTGAGGATTGGGGAAAACCTGAACAAGGCGTTGCATAACACTCCAGTGTCACAAGGTATGGCGAGCCTTGATCAATTTGTTCCAACTTTTCAGCCTAGAAAGCACTGAGAATTTTTTGCACAGCATAGATATGTTATTTTAATATAAGGAATGGGAGCGGCTGCAATGGCTGCGGTATACAATAGATCACTGTAGCACATTATAATGGGGTGTGCGATATCAACGAGTGAATGGGGCAGTAGGCTCATGTTCATTTGCATTGCTAGCCGTGCACAACAAAGGAGTTGGCAAACACCATCTATAATGCTGTCAACGCCGTGTCTCAACTGCTCATAGTACACGTTGGTAACACAGCCCTCATTAGACTTCAGCTCATAAAAGCAGTCATCAAAATACAATACAGCAATGGAAATGTTTCAGCTGCATAATGGTTCCATTCTTATTCAGCATCATCAGTACGAGTCAGTTATTCACTGTCTTATTATGCCTAACGATGGCTATCAGAAGAACAACAAAAATTAGAATGTCTCTAAAATGAAACAACTAAAAGCATTAGCGCTTAAACAACGCAGTTAAACTCTTCCAATAGGTGACCATTTTATCCAGAATGTTTATTATCTGCGGTCAAAAGAAATCTGTGAAAATTCCCATTATCTGCGGCTTGATTCTTCTAATTCACACAAGAGCAATTACCCAGGAATGATTGTGGCAGGTGGTAAATTCATCCTATAACTGCATCCTTGTACAAGTATTGGGTTCCATGGGTAAGTGGGGTTTGATTTATCAATGGGTGTCACAGCCCTGACAGGAGGCTGCAATGCAACACACTGCGGTGGACAAATAGGGGCGATCAGGAGCACCTGGTTTTTATCTCATTAAAAAAGATTTCCAATTTCCTGTGGATGAGAGGATGCCTAAGCGCCTATGAACAAATCACCTGGAATATGCCCCAATTGCAACGGATATGAGCTCAGCAACAGTGTTTGGATGGGCAGCCACCAGGCATAAAATGTGCAGGCTGAGGTCGGGCTACACGGTAAGCAGAGGACAGTGCAACAAAATGTTGTTGCATTGCATCCGTTCCCTGCCTTTACTGACTCGCACTGACCAGCGCGGTGAAGTATGATAAAACACTTGACCTTTGGTGCTGCTGTACCTATGAAAGCTACAGTTGAGGGACATTGCACGCTATACCAATTCTCCATATCTTAATATATCCGAAATATCACGGATAAACGGAGTTACTTTTCACAGATTCAAACAAAAATATATTTACCCGTGAGGATGGCAATATGTGCAGGGCCTAAATGCACATTCGCATTGTGGCTTGTCTTTGATTTTCATTGACGAGCGAGATGTGCACATCGGTGTTCATTTTCTGATTGGTCAATGGTTATACCAGTGTCTTCAACGAATGTCAAAGCAAAGGGGGTGCAATGTTTGACAACTGTTATCTGAGTTTAATTATGAGTAAACAGAACCACCACACCACTTGAAAACTGATTGAAGAGAAGCTTCACTGTATCAACTTCTCAAGCCAATGAGAATCCATTCGATGGAATAAGCGAGCCAATAAATACACAAAGCACACACACGGATTGGAAAACACAGCAGTGACAAATTGATTTTCACTTGACGTTCACTCCAAAGGATGTGTTCTCACCAGTGCCACTGTGCCAGCCACACATCGTCTGATGGCAGAACGTACACGCTACACGGTGTCTCGTACACGTATTCCGGTGGGAGTCATGTATTCTCGTGGGTATTTGTTGCTGGATTCCCTCCAATGCAGATACGCATGGCATCCAACACAAAGCCGGCGGCAAAGCGTTGGGCGACGAGCGAAAAACATCTCTTCACCGACTTGTACTCGCGCAGTGAAACAGCCATGAGCTCCTCCCCTGCTCTCATCTCAGGAGGTGGCAAAGTGGTTGAAAAATTGCATGCACTCACCTCGAAGTTCAAGGTCCACTGCTTTCAGCACACTTGTGAGCCCCAGTGATGATGCGTGTTTGTGTGTGTTGAGCTAGCCTCAGGGAATTACAGAAGCTTGCTTGAAAAAAGGCCATTGTATGCCAGCATCATGGTGACCTTGTGGCAGTGCTTTACCAGAACAGTGCTACAAATTGTTTAAGTTAAGCAATCTAACAAAGTTCTCTTTTGGGAATTACGTCAAGGCTGACTAATTTCATCGGAACATACCATAACTGGAGTCTGCAAAGTAATTAAATGAATAAATGCATGAACAGGTGAATTCGTTTTGACGATTTAGCCAGGGAATTTTAAGCGGGCATTTAAATAGCTTTGGGGAGCATGCCCACCGCTGAAAGAATTTGCTCAAAGTCAGCCACTATATTCCTGCAGCCATCTGCTCCTTTTTATAAGGCATTGTCAAAGTATCCCCATTTGCTATAGGCTGGACATCTCGGGATGTTTAAGACCCATGCCATTGTTTTCGATGCTGTATATGTTACCACTGACCCCATAATGCTATTTTTAAATTAACCCATGACATTTGGTCAAAATTGTGATTTTTTTTTTAATAACCATTACTTAGGTTTACGTAACAAAAAACATCGAAAATCCATATGGTTTCTGACCTGGATAAATAAAATGTATCAATCATTAGGGGTGGAAAGGTCGACATTCAGAGAACCCCCTTTGGTTCTTTCGGTAAAGTCACGTAGGTATAACAAATAAAATAAATTAAATCACGACGTTTCGATTGCAACACAAGTAATCATCATCAGGTGTGAAAACTACAGCAAGAACATTTTTCTTGCAATTAATTTATTTTATATGTTATACCTACGTGACTTTACCGAAAGAACCAAAGAGTATGGATCCCTGTAGTCACGGAAACTTCAAATCTAGAATACAGAGAACATCTCTCTGAAAGAATAAACAATGACCCAACAGCCTCCATTGGCAAAGGCTTTGTGACTAAGACACTGACACTTTGCCACTTTCATCAAGACACGTTTAAGGAAGCTTCAAACAGCCCTCGTATATATTAGCCGACACTATATCACTGCAGCATGAACAATATATTACGTATGTTAACTTTTTATTAATGAATTAACAAAAATGTGGTCGTATAAACTGGTCGCCATCATGCCTCCACCCCGAGGCTTAACAGTTAGAAATCCATCTCAAGCATTTGTGGTTCTGCTGGGAATAAAAACTCTTAGAGCATGCCATCACATAGTAAGGACATGGGTCTATCTGGCTCTTTGCTTGAAGGTTAGCTTACTGTATTTTCATTCATGTCAAAAGCATATCATAGGAAGCTAAAGTTCCCCCCAAGACGGCCTTCATGTCAACAAAATCCATGCAATATAATGGGAACAAGTTCTATTTGAGATCATGTAATGGCTACATGAATAAATAATAAATAGTACAGACGCACAGGTGAACGAACTGTTAGATAAAACAGACAGGTGGATTGACAGCTGGACTGATAAGGAAGCTGTGTGGGCAGACATGAAGCCTGACAGATGGCGACAGATAAATGCCCGGGACAATACGGTTGACAAATGGATAGACAGAGATATGAAACAACTAATAATAGATGGACGGAAGGAACAGATACATGGTTGGACCATAAAAAGATGACGAATAGAGAGAAGAATGAATGGGTATAGATGGACATGCAAATTGGAGAAAAAAACTACAAAAAAACATTGAGAGATAAGGATGCATGCAGGGCAGCATTAATGCACGGATGATATCAGCACAAGTATATACAGGCAGTCCACAAACATTCCAGACATGCACTCCAAATTCTTCTCACAGACTAATTTATTGTGGCCTGCAATATTAGACATAATTGATGATTACTCTGCTGTGAATACTGAAATG